TTATTGCTGTTTTGTTACTTGTTTTATGGTTGTTTTTGTAGTTCTTCTCTGTTCCTTTCTTCTCTTGCTTTTTTCTTTCATGGTTAGCTGGATTTCTGTAGTGATATACTTGGATTCCTTTCTCTTTATTTTTTGCATATCTATTGCTAGTTTTTAATTTGTGGTTACCAGTATCAGTGTATATTAAGTTGATGATTGCTTAAGCTTGAACCCATTCTTTACTCCTCTTCCCACCCCCATGTTTTAGATATATGGTGTCCATCCTTTTATTTTGTGAATCCCTTGACTCGTTTTTATAATATAGCTAATTTTACTGCTTTTTGCTTCCTACTTGTCTTCTACTTATGGTCTTTCCTTTCCATTCAAAAAGTCCCTTTAGGGGTGCCTGGGTGGCTCAGTCAGTTAAGCATCTGACTCTTGATTTAGGCTCAGGTTGTGACCTCAGGGTGGTGGGATTGAGCCCCGAGTCAGGCTCAGTGCTGAGTGTGGAGCCTGCTTGGGATTCTCTCTCCCTCTCCCTTTGCCCCTCCATGCTGCTTGTGCACCCACGTGCGTGCTCTCTCTCGCTTTCTCTCTTAAAAAAGAAAAGAAAAGAAAAGAAAAGAAAAGAGTCCCCTTTAATATTCTTGTAGGGCTAGTTTAGTGATGATTAATTCCTTTAACTTTTGTCTGGGAAACTTTTTATCTCTCCTTCTATTCTGAATGATAGCCTTGCTGGATAGAGTGTTTTTGGTTGCTGGGTTTTTTTCTTTCAGCACTTTGAATATATCATGCCACTCCTTTCTGGCCTGCAAAGTGTCTACTGAAAACTCCACTGATATAGCCTAATGGGGCTTCCCTTTTATGTAACTGCTTTTTTTTTCTCTTGTTGCTTTTAAAATTCTCTTTATCACTTCTTTTCACCATTTTAATTACTATGTATCTTGCTGTGGACCTCCTTGGGTAGATTTTTGTTGGGGGATCTTTGTGACTCCTGGATCTGGATTTCTGTTTCCTTCCCCAGATTCAGAAAGTTTTCAGATATTATATCTTCAAATAAATTTTCTGCCTCCTTTCCTATCTATCTCTTCTTCTGGGATCCCTATCATGTGAATGCTATCATGCTTGATGGTGTCACTGAATTCCCTAAGTCTTTTTTCCTTTTTTATTATTACTTTTTTTCTCTTTGATTGTTCAGTTTGATTGCTTTCCATTACTCTGTCCTCCAGGTTACTGACCATTCTTCTGCTTCCTGTAGTCTACTATTTATTTCATCTAGGAAATGTTTAATTTCATTTATTGAGTTCATCTCTGGTTCTTTTTTATGTTTCTCTTTGTTGAGGGTCTCACTAAGGTTCTCCACTCTTTTCTCAAGTCTAGTAAGTATCTTTATGACCATTACTTTAAATTCTCTATCAAGTATATTACTTATCTCCATTTGGTTTAGCTCCCTTGCTGTGATTTTGTCCTATTCTTTCATTTGAGACATATTCTTCTGTCTCCTCATTTTTGTCTAACTCCCTGTCTGTGTTTCTATGTGTTAGGAAAGTCCACTACATCTCCTGCTCTTGAAAATAGTGGCCTTATGAAGAAGAGTCCAGTAGTGCCCTGCAGTGCAAAGTCCCCTGTTTACCAGAACCTGGCGCTTTGGGGTATCTCCTATGTGTGTTGTGTGCACCCCACTGTTGTGGTTGGGCTGCTTTTGCCTTCAGTCCAGTCATCTCTCTTTGCCTGTGTGGGCAGGGTTTGGTCCCTGTGTTGTTAGTGGGCCAGCTGGGGCTGCCTTGGGTTTGAGTTGAGTCAGACCAAGCATTTGCCAGAGATACAGTAGCACCAAACTGCAGGGCACTTTCCCTGTGTTGTCTCCTGAGAAGCTTTTGTTGGTGAGCAGGGCCTGCAGTCAGACCTGATGTCTGCTCCCAGCCCATGCTGGAGCCGCAGTCAGACTGGTATGTATAGTGATCCTCCCCTCTCCCCAGGAAGGAGTCACTTTGATGTAGTACTGGCTCCTGTCAGGGCTGCTTGTGCACTGCCAGGCTTGTGGCACCTCTTTGGGTGGGCTCCGGGTAAGGACATACTGAAGGGGGCAGGTCTGGAGGAGAGCACTAGGGCAGGGGCAAGTTAGGTGGAAAATGTTGGCACAGAGTTGGTCAATGTGTCTAGGCTAGGGGACAAGGGAGGGAAATGATACCTGCCAACTCTTTTTTTCTTGGAATGGTCTTCTAAAAATCCCTGCCCCTCCAGCACATGCTCTGAGATTAATAAATAAATCTTCCCTTGTATCCCAGGCATTTTTCAAACTGCTGATTCTGTGCTGCATCTCTGCTGGGCTGTTTGTTGTGCTGTCTCTTTAAAGGCAGGACTCCGTTTCCTATTACCCTCCAGGCTGTCCCAGAGCTGAGCTCACTGATTTTTAAAGTTCCAGGTGGTAAGCCCCACTGATTGTAAGAACTCAAGAAATTAGGCCCCTCTGGTTTTCAAAGCCAAATGTTATGGGGATTCATCTTCCCTGTGTGGGTTCCCGTGCCCGGGTGCTTGGTGTAATTTTCTGTTTCTCTCCCTTCTCTGTACCCCTATTGTTCCTCCCTCCCTCAAACAGTCCCACAGGTCTGTTTAGCTCCCAACCACATTTCTGCCCTTCCTACATAATTTGATGTGGCCTCTTCTCAATTCATAGCTGTGGAGAGTCTGTTCTGCCAATCTTTGGATCATTTTCTGCGTTATTTACACTGATGTGGGTGTTAACTAGTTGTATTGCGATGAGGTGAGCCTCGGAATTTCCTACTCCACCATTTTCCCCAGAAGTCCCTGTCCCACTTCTAATTTATTTAACCCATCTTTCTTGCTGTCTCTTTTTCTATTTTTTTTTTTTCATATAAACAGTGTTTTGATAAACTGCTGTTCACAGAGTCACTAATAGCCTTGTGTTGCCAAGCCCAGTGGTCAATTCTCAGGGCTCATTTTACTTGACCTATCAGGACTTCTGACATGGTTACTCATTATCTCATTGAAACTTTTTCTTCACTTGGTTTCCAGACCTCACACTTCCTGGTGTTCCTTCTAGTTCATCTGCTCAATCTATCTCCCTGCTGACTCCCCCTCATCTTTCCAACTCTCTCCTTATCTCTCATCTCTGTTTACTTTACTCTCTTGCTCATCTCATCCAATCTTATGGCTTTAAATACCTGAACTCCACACCCATGTGCCCAACAGCTGCTTGGTTAGCATGCATTTTTGGATGCTTTAAAAAACATCTCAAACTTACCATTTCCAAAACCAAACTTTCACTCTTTCCCACTATGTATATTCCACCTTTGTTCTTTTCCATCTCAGTTCATGGAACTGCCATCCTTCCATTTGCATAGGACAAAATCCTGGGAGTCATCCTTGACTTCTCTCTTTCTCTTACGTTCATGTTCAACCAATCCATCAAGAAATCCTGTTGATTCTACCTCCAAAAATACCTACAATCCAACTACTTCTCTCCATCCCTACTGCTCTCCATGGCTTTAAGCCACTGTTATTTCTCTCTTAGACTATTGCCCCAGTTTCTCTCTGTGCCCTCCCTAGAGTCTAAAAGTTAGAACATGTCATCCCTCTGCTCAAAACACACCAGTGACATTCCATCTCAGGATGAAAAGTCAAAATTCTTACAACAACCCAGAAGGCTCTTGATGACACTCCCACCCCCACTGCCACCATCTCTCTTTCCTTTCCTGTCATTCTCATCCTTGCTCACTCTGCTCCAGCATCCTAGATGTTCTTAAGCACACCTGTTCCAGAGGGACTTGGCAGTTGCTGGCCCCTCTGCTTGGAATGCTCCTTCCCCAGATGTCCACAAGGCTCTCTCATCACCCTCCAGAATTTTCTCAGCCAGTAAGATCTTCCCTGATCACCTATTTAAGTTCCAAACTGATCTCCCCTCTGGCCCTCTGAACCTCCCTCCCCTGTTTTCTAATTAACTACATAACTTCTTTCTTTTATTGCCTACCCTATCCCCCCCCCAAGAAAATTGATATTTTAATATATTATTTATTATTGAATCTTCAGTGTCTAGGCACATGGGTAATCATTCATCAAATATTCATTGAAGAATTTTCTTTATACATGCATCATTGTGCACTTGTCTCATTATTTATTGGGAATTAATTCCTAGGGTCAGAGGTATGTACAAATTGCCCAGAAAGGTTTTAATAATTTGTTCCCACCAAGAGTCCATGAGAATGTCTTTTTCCTGATACCTTCACCAGCATCATACCCTGGTCACACTATCCTTTCTGTTCCTTCAGCTCACCATGTACATCCCCCCTTGATGCATTTGTACTCCCTTCTCCACAACTTCCTCCTCCAGAATACTCTCCTGACACACTTTTACTTGGTGTAATTCTTCTTATTATTTAGGTCTTACTTTAATTGTCACTTCCTTGAAGGGGACTTCCCTAATCATCAGCTGTTAAGTAACTTTCCAGTCATCCCCTATCACATCACCCTATTTTATTTTCATTATAGCATATGTCATCAGCAGATATTTTCTTATTTCTGTATTCATTTGTTTGTCTCTGATTTCCCTCCCTAGAATGTAAGCTCCATGAGAACAGGAGATTTATATGTCTCTTCCAACACTACCTCCAGTAAATGTGTGTTTGATGATGGAATAAACACTAGGTATTATAATTTTTCATTATTACAATCTGCTGGGTGAAAAGTGGATTAAACACGAATTATTTTCCTGGATTGGTGAGGCTGAGCATCTTTCAAGTATGAAAGCCTTTTTTTATTAGCAAGTGCTGAGATGATCTAGAAGTTGAAAGATTCGGTTAGAGTACCTGTTTTAGATATGCCGTGTTCGATTTCTTATTTGTTTCGGATATGCTGCACCAGATTTCGTATATTGCTAAGTTGCATTATTTTTTACATTTCCAAAGCCTCTTTTGCATTGATGTCAACATTAGTATCCTTAAAGGAGGATTCCTTCTGCAAATTTTACTCACGTACAAATGGTTTTTTTTTTGTCTTCACAGCTTTTAGAAAGAACCAACAATGGTTTTGAAGACTCAGACTCCGGTGCTACCAAGAGTCCACTCCACTTAGCTGTAAGTGAGGTGCCTCAGGCGGCTTCCTCTGTTACAAAAAGTACCTAAGTGTTCCTAGAACTAGGCTGCTCTTAAAATGAAAGCATAGTAACACAATAATAACTAATAATGAAAGCAGTACATGAGTAAAGGCACAGGCTGCAGAAAGACTGACTCAAATTCCAATCCCAACTTCACCCACTGGTGACCTCAGACACATTACTTACCCCGTCTGGGCCTCAGTTTCCCAACTGTAAAATGAGGGCAAAAGAAAGATAATTTTCTTAAAGCCTTTACCACAGTGTACATAATAAATGACGATTATACATTTTAACAGTCTTTTATTTATTTATTTATTTATTTTAAACTTTTTTATTTTATTTTTTTATTTTTTTAATTTGCGAGAGAGAGAATGAGAGACAGAGAGCATGAGAGGGGAAGGGTCAGAGGGAGAAGCAGACCCCCCGCTGAGCAGGGAGCCCGATGCGGGACTCGATCCCGGGACTCGATCCCGGGACTCCAGGATCATGACCTGAGCCGAAGGCAGTCGTTTAACCAACTGAGCCACCCAGGCGCCCTTAACAGTCTTTTAAAAGTATTACTACCTAGTAGTTAAATTTAAAAAATTGAGGAAATTTGAAGAACACATTTTGGCGTTACAGATTTGATGTAGCCAACAGTACATGAGTCTACAACCTACCACAAAATCAACCAAATACCACAATTAAAAAGTTGTGAGCTATTTAAACACAAACTTGTGAGAGCAAGATGAGCACATGCGTAATTGCAACTCTGCTTTTTCTGCCTGCGCTTGAAATCAGGGTCTCGGAGGAGGTGTGAGGCTCTGGTTCTTGTACTGGCTGAGATCTCAGAGTGGGGAGGAAGACTTATCCTGTCACCAGTAAGGCTTCCTCTCCACATCCCTAATCGAAGGGAAATGCACCAGCTCAGAGTGAGGATCCCCAAACTCTCCATGGGGGTGACCGGGCCAACAAACTCACCCACCACTCTGTCTCAGCTGGTGTCCCGCTAGGAGTTGGTAGTCACCAGCTCTTCTCTAGGAGCCTCTGGGACTGACAGCCACACCCAGCAGTGGCAGCTCCCCCGTAGAAGGTGCTGCTGCAGCGTGAGGCCTCAGTGCACGACCGCAGTGATGGTGTTTGGGTGTCCCTGGAGGCTGACTGCTAAGAAGAGTGCAAAGGGGCTGGGTCTCTGAGTTCAACTGTTATGACATTCACTTATACCATCCAGTATAAGCACTTCTCAGTGTGATTCTGATGAGAACTTGAGATGGAGATTTTGTAGAACAGAGGAGAGTGTTTTGTTGATGGGCATACATATGTAGTCAGGCAAGGAGAGGGTATGACACCATCCCATAAGGACTGGGATGAACTGGTCACACTGCATGGAGCCCCTGCTTCATTGCCAGTCTCCCCGCGTAGTCACCAGCACATCTGGTGATCCCATTCACCACCCTCTGCCACACCCACTCACACACACACACACACACACATTTTGGGTCCAGTGAATTAGGCTAAAATGTGCATCAGTCTTTGTTCTAGAGATGGACTTAGAGTGGGAAAGGTGGATGGGTAGTGGGATATTTGCATGTATAAAACTTCATGCCACTTGGCTCTTAGGACAGGTTGCTCTTAAGGTTGCTCCCTGGAATCTCTGCCTAACCCATCTACTGCACCTGGGGAAGGTACCCCAAAGCTGAGGGTTCACATACAGCATTGGCTGCCTCGAACGAGGACTGTTTGAGGTGATCTCAGATAGAATCCTCATGCCCTTTGCCAGTGGGTTGGTTGCATTGCCATACCTGCTCATAATCTGAGAAGAGACTTTCTTAGCTTCCCCCAAATTCTGTCATCTCTCATTCCTTTTTTCCTTTTTCCAAAAATTATGGTTGAGTGCTTACTGTGTGCCAGTTGCTCTGCTAAGATCTGTGGGATTCTGGCCGTGTAAAGACAGGGTAGCATGTTATCACTGGCGAGAACTGGGCATTTGGCAGTCCTGCAGCTGGCAGGCGCCTGGGCAGTACACCCAGGCTGGGGCCCCCAGTCTTCCCATTAACAACTCGCCTAGACATGGTTTTCCCACCTGTAAATGAAAAGGAGTAAGTTAAGGACCCCCAAACCCTGTCTAATTTGTAAATTTATTTGTTTTTGTATGGTCTCGGCCAAATACCTAACCTCTTGTGTCTCAGTTTCCTCACCCATAACATGAGGAGAATCGCAGTACCTCTGTCATGGGCCGTTGTGGGGATGACATGAGCGAATGCGCGTAAAGTGGTTAGAACAGTGCCTGGCACACAGGTGCAATCATCTAGCTTCATCCTCACTAATGCTAACGTATCGTTCTTTCATTTGACATATACCAACTGTGAGTGTGCTAAACATGTGTTCGGCAGCTGGAGAGGTTGCGGTAAACACCCAGCCTCTGTCCTCGTAGAGTTTCCAGTCTAGGAGAGAAATAGGCAAGTAAATATATAACACGCCAGATGGTAGGAAGTGCTGCCCGTGCCACAAATGGGACCAGTAAGATGCACTGAGGTGGCAGATGAGGCTCTACTTTTTATAGCACAGAATCTCACATTTGAACAGAGACCTTAAGAGCTACCCATGTTAATATCTGACAGAAGAGTGTTCTGGGCAGAGTCCAGAAGTGCAGAGTCCCTAGGGGTAAGGGCATGCTTGGCGTGGTCCCAGAACAGCAGAGTGGGGAAGGGAGAGTGGTAGGGGATGGGGTGGCACATGTCCTGGAGGGGGCGGGGAGTCAGGGGAGGGCCTCCTACTCCATTGTAAGAACTTCAACTTTTACTCTGAGTAAATTAGAAAACCATTTGGAGGAATTTGAAGAAACAGATGATATGATATGACTTTTGTTTGAAAAGGATCACTTTAGCTTCTGTGTTGAGTCTAGTTTGTAAGGGAACAAAAACAGAAGCAAGATAACCAGGAAGTGTTGATGATGAGGATGAGGATGAGGACGACGATGACTTTGACCAGGGTGACGATGACTTTGACCAGGGTGATAGCAGTGGATGAATTTTAAAACTATGTTATTCTTGGGCGCCTGGGTGGCTCAGTCGGTTAAGCGACTGCCTTCGGCTCAGGTCATGATCCTGGAGTCCCGGGATCAAGTCCCGCATTGGGCTCCCTGCTCAGCCGGGAGTCTGCTTCTCCCTCTGACCCTCCTCCCTCTCGTGCTCTCTGTCTCTCATTCTCTCTCACAAATAAATAAATAAAATCTTAAAAAAAAAACAAAAAAAAAAACTATGTTATTCTTGCCCTCTAAATGCTAACACCTTTAAAAAATTATTATTTGCTTTAAGAACCCTGCAAGTATGCCCATCACCCTCTCCAGGGGCCTCTGTGGCAATTAACTTGATAAAAAACCCAAGGCACATTATTTCTTCTGTGGTTGAATCCTAGCAATGAAATAGAACCAGATGCCCCCAAACCTTGACTGCCACAAGAAACCTGACCTGCCTTGAGTTACTATTTCCTGGCTGAATGCTTCAAGTCTCCAGGGTTATCAACCCAGTGAATTTCATAAACATTTCATCCACTTGACAGAATTAAATCAAGAAACAAGGCTATGCAAATGAAAGGCTCCAGCTGTCAAGATTTCCAGACGGACCCATTGTTTCGTGGATTCTGTTGAGATCCCAAATTCTTTTTCCTCGTTGCCCTCAGTTCCTATCTAAAAAGTTCAAAGAAATTAGTTGTGTTTAAGACATATTTAAGTGACCTAATGATATATTTTTTAATAAAGATTTTTCATAAAGCAAATTTAAAATATTTGATTGCTACCTCTGTGAAGGTTTGAACTGGGTTGTCTATTGAAAGCCAAACTATTCCATGCTTTTGAACCAGCATATTTGTTCTTTTCTGTGATTACCTCCTCTTTTAGTTATTTCAGAAATTATTGGTGAAACTACCTATTAATTAGCTAGTTTAGGATGGAAATAGAGGAATAGGGCAATTTTCATCATGTACTGCTGACATGAGAAAGGTCTCCTTTCCTGCCTACTTGAGCCTCCTTCAAAGAGTTTAAAGCTTTATTGATACATTTTATATACTCCAAGAACCATATACCTGCCCTAAGACAGAATCTTGCATTTAACCCTAAAATAGAATTCCATATCACATGTTCCTTTGTTTCCAGGTTAAGCTCTAAAGTGTGGCAATAAGTGAAAGTTCTTGTCTAATCAAAGTTACTTTCATTATTCCCCTTAAATTGCCCTTAAAGTTGAGTGTACATAGTTTATGTCTTCGATTCTGTGGGGTAATGTTTTTGCATGCTAAAATTCAAGCTAGACTGGGGGAGAAATGAAAGGAATTCTATGGGTAAATCTGGCCTTTGAACCATTCTGTCTTTAAGATAATTTAAAGTGCCTGATAGAGAAGAAAGTGTGGGTTGGAATTCTGAAGATTTCCTAATTACCAGCAGGGTCACTCCATCTTTTTTTTAAATTATTATTAAGCCTCTAAATTTAACACAGGCTGATGGATTTATTTTTTGTGGTGAGGATTAAAGAAGAAAGTGTGGGGATAAGTTTAACACCTAGTTTAAGTGCCTTGTAATGTGACTCCGCTCTTCTGAACAGAGCTTTATCCCTTCACACTGGCTTCCTTCCTACGTACATTTCTCTTTCCCGTGTCTTCTCTTTATTAAATCTAAATATGTTAGCCCACATGTTTTGTAGATACGCATGCAATTTATAAGTAGCTGATTCTATTTTCCTAGGCTAAGTCATACAGATGGAAATTAAAATGTTTACCCTCTTTGTCATAATAGTTAACTGGCACTGAAGGAACCAGCATTTGCAGATGACATCTAGACACTGCTGTTATCTACGGGGGATTCATTTCTCTTTGGTGTGAAGTCAGGATTCCCATATAAGCGAATCAGTTGCTACCATTACACTTTATTTTTTTTATTATTATGTTATGTTAGTCACCATACAGTACATCATTAGTTTTGGATGTAGTGTTCCGTGATTCATTGTTTGCATATAACACTCAGTGCTCATTGCAGCACATGCCCTCCTTAATACCCATCACCAGGTTAACCCATCCCCCCATCTCCATCCCCTCTAAAACCCTGTTTGTTTCCCAGAGTCCATAGTCTCTCATGGTTCGTCTCCCCCTCTGACTCCCCCCACCCCTTCATTTTTCCCTTCCTTCTCCTAATGTCCTCCATGTTATTCCTTATGTTCCACAAATAAGTGAAACCATATGATAATTGCCTTTCTCTGCTTGACTTATTTCACTTAGCATAATCCCCTCCAGTTCCATCCATGTTGATGTAAAAGTTGGGCATTCATCCTTTCTGATGGCTGAGTAATATTCCATTGCATATATGGACCACATCTTCTTTACCCATTCGTCTGTTGAAGGGCATCTCGGCTCCTTCCACAGTTTGGCTATTGTGGACATTGCTGCTATGAACATTGGGGTGCATATGGCCCTTCTTTTCACTACATCTGTGTCTTTGGGGTAAATACCCAGTAGTGCAATTGCTGGGCTCTATTTTTAATTTTCTGAGGAACCTCCACACTGTTTTCCAAAGTGGCTGTACCAACTTGCATTCCCACCAGCAGTGTGAGAGGGTTCCCCTTTCTCCACAACCCCTCCAACATTTGTTGTTTCTTTCCCTGTCCATTTTTGCCATTCTAACTGGTGTAAGATGGTATCTCAATGTGGTTTTGATTTGAATTTCCCTGATGGCTAATGATGTTGAATATTTTTTTCATGTGTCTGTTAGCCATTTGTATGTCTTCTTTGGAGAAGTGTCTGTTCATGTCTTCTGCCCATTTTTTTGCTACCATTACACTTTAAAATGAGAAGTATTATACAAAGTCAGTTTTCAAATAAGTCACAGATAAGCCCAGAGTAAAGTGAGATAGGCTGATTTACACCCTGATGTAGACACTGCTACAGGATAGGTCCTCCCAAGTTGGCCTAAAATCCCCTATGGTCAGTTGATAATGGCTGAAACTGGGTGCTGGGTATATAGGAACTCATTACACTCTCCTCTTCTCTTTGTACAAGTTTGAAATTTCATATAATCAAGTGATCTTGGACAAATTAATTAACGGTGCTTGTTTTGTTTTGTCATCAGTAAAAAGAATGTTTGCATAGATAAATAGCTGCTACTTAAGAATATATTTCTAAATATATATATGTACATATATATGTATATATTTCTCCTACTAATACTAATAAATGATAATAATAGCCATTATATTAAGTCATTTATTCACCAAATAATCGTTGAGTGTGTACTATGCCCTGGGCATGATTTAGGGTACAGCAGTGAGCAATACACATGAAGTGCCTTCAACCACAGATGATAAACAAACCAACAGATAAGTAACAGATATCAAGTGGTAATGAGTGCTATAAAGATAACATAAAGCAGGGTAAGTGGGTTGGAGAGTGTCTGGTAGTATGCTGAGGTGGAGGGTGGAGGGCTGTTTTTTGCCTCTGAAAAACCTCCAGATAAGGTGATATTGGAAGCAGAAGTCCCAGGAGAGCCACGTGGCCCTCAGGGGAAAGAGCTTTTCAGACAGGAAATAGGAAGTACAGATGCAGCGGCACCTGGCCGGCTCAGTCAGAGGAGATGCGACTCTTGATCTTAGGGTCGTGAGTTCAAGCTCCACACTGGGTGTAGAGCTTACTAAAAAAAACAAACAAACTTTGAAAAAGAAAGAGAGAGAGAGAAGATGCAATAGCAAAGAAAGAAAGGAAAAGAAAAGAAAAGATGCAATAGCCCGGAGGAGGAAATGTATCTATTTAACCATGGGGTAGGAGGAGGGGTTGGTGTGGTTGAACAGAGTGAGTGAGGAGGCATGCTGATGATCAGGGTAGAAGGAGGCCTAATCCTAAGGGCCGGAATGGTTTGGGATTTTATTATCAAGGAAGGAAGGAGCCATTGACTAGTTTTCATCAAGGACTGGTATGTCCAACTTGGGTTTTAAGAGAGCTCATCTGGAGGCTGTGAGAGTAATAGATTGCAGTGGGGCGAGGATGGAAAGGAAGGCCCTTGCCATAATCCTGGCGAAAGAGGATGGTGCTATAGCGAGAACTGGGTCAATTCTGGACATATTTTAAAGAAAGAGTAGAGATGATGGCGCGTTGAGGGCTGCTGATAGCCACACTGCACCTGTGTGTGAATTAGACCAGGGATGTGGGGGTAGATGTTTTCCTGCCAGGGGCCAGAGAACCTGATGACACCTCTGTGTGGTTAGCAAGAGGGGTCCCTTGCTCTCAGCAGACACATCCCTGTACAGGGCATGGCCAGGCTAGGATGGGGAGCCAGAGGCTATTTTCAACACCCACTTGCCCTAGTGTCCCAGAGCCCTTGTATAGGACTACAACCCTGGGCTTAAGAGGGAAGATAAAGACGACTCCAAAGTTCTGGGCCTGAGCAACTAGAGGTATAGCCTTACCACTTACTAAGATGGAAGAGGCTGCAGCTGGAGCAGGTTTGAGGAAGGAAATTAAGAATTTGGTTTGGGACATGTTAAGCTTGAGATGCATATATTCAAGTGGAAATATCAATAGGCAGTTGAATATACAAGTCTAGAAGTAAAAGGAGAAGTTAGAAATGGGATATTGAGATTCATCAGCATGTGAATTATTATACTGCATATTATAGGTAATATATATGTTTACTACATAATATATAATAACCATAATCATTCACAAAATAATGTAAAGAGAAAGTATTAAAACAATTCCTATCAGTACTCTTAAATTCTATGGATCCGGGGCGCCTGGGTGGCTCAGTTGGTTAAGCGACTGCCTTCGGCTCAGGTCATGATCCTGGAGTCCCGGGATCGAGTCCCGCATCGGGCTCCCTGCTCGGCAGGGAGTCTGCTTCTCCCTCTGACCCTCTTCCCTCTCATGCATTCTGTCTCTCATTCTCTCTGTCTCAAATAAATAAATAAAATCTTTAAAAAAAAAAATTCTATGGATCCTTTTATATTTAGTTTTTGGTATTATTGTTGTTAACATATACTTAGGAAAAAATTCAAAGGATTTTTAAAAAGGTAGTAAGTCCATATACTCTTTACTTTATCTTCCATTTCTCGAGGTAGCCACCATTAACACTTTCTTTTGTATTCTAAAATTTTCTGTGAACATAGAAATATACATAGATATAGATAGGTATAGATCTAAATATATTTGCTTTTTATATAAATGAGGTCATGCTATACGTACTGTCTGCAGTTTAGTTTTTCAAAAAGTTTTTGATAGATTTTTGTCAAATCACTCTTCACAAATGTCACACCATACTCCGAGCACAACAGAGCATAGATTGCTTTTTTCACCATGTCTTTTTTTTTTAAAGATTTTATTTATTTATTTGAGAGAGAGAGCATGAGCAGGGAGTGCGGGGGAGGGGGGAGAGGGAGAAGCAGACTCTCCGCTGAGCGGGGAGACCAAGGAGGCTCAATCCCAGGACCCTGAGATCATGACCTGAGCCCAAGGCAGACGCTTAACTGACTGAGCCACCCAGGCGCCCCTGCTTTTTTTCACCATGTCTTAACTAGTACTGGGACATGACCAAACTTATTCATTGTCAATCTGGTAGTTGAAAAATAGTACCTTAAAAATTTACATATTTCCTCCATATGTTCATTGGCCTTTCATATTTATTTTTCTGTAAGCTGTCTTTTCATGCCCTTTGTACATTTTCCTAAGTTTTAAAATGGTTTGTAAGAGCTTTTTGTGTATGAGAGATATTGATCTTTTGTCTGTGCTAATAAGCTTCTTTTCAAATACGTTGTGCCTCGAGTAATCGCTACGGTGGGAAAGCAGAAAGTGCAGCTGACATAAGAGGGGGAGCCTGGCTGCTGAGGACACCGGGGGCAGGACTTCTCTGTGTCTCCTTCTTTACTTCCTTCTCCTGCCTCAGTTCTCCCCCTCCTATCCTTGGCCCTCTTCTCTCTTTTATTTCCCATGTCCTTTGCCTTGTGTGTGCACATACATTTTTTTACCTTATAGACTTAATGAAAATTATCTCTCAGTCTTTCGATTTTCTGTCTCAGTAGTGGGAAGCCTCTTAACCTAACATAGCATGGGACCTCATAATAGGCCTGAACTTGGTGCTGGTACACAGAATATATTTCCATAATTGTGTCTATGTTTAATGATAATCAATGGGAGAAGTAAAGGAGAAAGGAGGAGGCATCCACTGTGTACAGGATATTATGGAAAGCCTGTGTGAATTTATCTCTTTTTATCTTCCCTGGGAGGCAGCTTTTATTGCTCTCATTTTATAGATGAGAAAACAAACTCTAAGTGAAATTAAGAAACTTGCCTGGGGTCCCATGCTTAGAAATTAAAATGTTGGACTGTAACAGATCTGTATGCTTCTGATGAATTACCAAGTCCACATTGTTCTTAGTGATTTTTTTTCCTCTAGGTTTAACAGAAAAGTCTCCTCCAGAATATTCTGATTGTGTCAGTATGTTTAGGAGTGAACTGATAGAACATTATATTAATTCATTCAGCTGCTAATCTGTATTAGATTATTAGATTGATAGATATAAATATAAGAATATATTTAGTACCTTTGGAGCAAATTATCTGACAAACAAGAAAGAACATGAAGAAATTCCTATGTAGCTGTGAGGCTTGTGCATTCTAATTTTTCAGTCTGACTCTCCGGTTTGTCTGTTTCAGTAATTATCCCCAGCATTTTTCTGATGTGCCCTTTGGAGTGGTCACCAACTGTGACCTGGGAGGCTCAGCCCCTCATGTGGGTTGTTGTGGGGTTTGAGGTGAGCAAGCATTTGAGTGGTTGGTTTCTTCTTTGCAGGCCTACAATGGGCACCATCAGGCCTTGGAAGTCCTTCTGCAGTCGCTGGTGGACCTGGACATCAGGGATGAGAAAGGCCGCACTGCTCTGGACCTGGCTGCCTTTAAGGGACACACAGAATGTGTGGAAGCACTTATCAATCAGGGCGCATCCATCTTTGTGAAAGACAATGTCACCAAAAGAACCCCACTTCATGCCTCAGGTGGGTCTTGTCAAGAGTCTGGTTGCAAGTCTAAGAAAAAGGATGACAGCATTTTCTTTCATCCCAACTTTTCAAGTATCAATTTTCTTTCTACATCAACTATGCCTACACTCTTCCAAAATGCTTTTGGCCTACTATCCACTTGAAGAGGATATAGCCAGAAAGACTCTGGTGTTCTTCTTTTAGAGCCGTTTTAGGTTCACAGCAAAATTGAGAGGAAGATATAGTGATTTTCTGTATACTTCCTGTCTCCCTCCACCCCGCCCCCACACACATGCATAGCCTTCCCCATTGTCAGTAACCCTCACTAGAGTGTTTCATTTGTTACAATTGATAAACCTCCATGACCCATCATAATCATTGAAAGTCCATAGTTTATATTAGGATCCATTCTTGGTGCTATACCTTCTATGAATTTGGGCAAATGTATGATGACATGGATCCAGCATGATAGTATCATACAAAGTAAGATGTTATAAACACTGCCCTAAAAATCCTCTGCGCTCTATCTTGCCTTCTTAACTCAGGAGAGAGTTCAGAACTTTGACCAGTGGCTACCACAAAACTTCCTAAAGAGGCAAGGTATAATGTGATCTTCAAATGAGTTACACAGACAGAATCACACAGCATTTTAAAGCATAAAATTAACGATTTTTTTCATAGCTATTTCATAAAAAGTGTCATCAGACAGCAATCTAATTGGTACATCATTCTGCCAGTCTAAATGACGCTTCTTAGCTTTTGCTCTGATGCTGATTCTTGATGCATCATGTGTTAAAATAAAGACTCTTAAAAAGTGTTATGTATATATCAAAAAGTAAGTAATTTGACTTTTTGGGACTTTTCTCCAATATACATAAAATAAAATTCTGTCAAGACATTTCTGGATGTATACACAGATACAAAAGTAATGTGGAAGAATCTCTAGCTCAGCTGAGGCATAAATACCTTTGGGTCAGGAATTCAATGATACCAGCCTTTGATCAGGATAGTAGATACTGGCTCATAAAGAGAAATAACTATCTTATTCAGACCATGAAATAATGGGTGGATTGGGAAACAAGGAGTAAAGACAGCTTTTCAAAAGACTTTATGATTCTTGTTACTTGGGAAAAAATGTTAGGTCTTGTGAAACTATTTCCATGTATATATCCTTGAATTTCCAAACCACTGAAGAAAAGCAATATAGAGATTGAAAAAAACATGGTGTTGCCTAATTATCTGGAAATGATTGTTCCTGAAAAAAACTTCAGCCATGAGGTCAGTAATGGTTGGTATGGTTAAATTATAAATTCTCATTTCCCATCACACTTTGTGTTTTTGGTATTCTTGATATAATTATAAAGTATTATTGTGAAGTTTGGTATTCTAGGCACTCTTGGTATTATTATAAAGTTCAAATTTAGTTCTCCTTCTTAAAGATTAGTTGTATATTATTATGGCAAGCATTCTGCTTTAGGTACAATGTACAGTATTTCCTGACAATTACAAGAGGCCTACTTCGATTGTGGAAAATTGTCCTTGTAAACAGGTAAACAATGAAGGATAATCATTGTCACGCATTTGCCACTGGGATATAGGTTGTGGTCCATTGGAGCCCCCTGGTGGTTAAGATTACTCCTTTTGGATTTCCCTCCTGTCATTCATTAAAGAGACGCAGGCTGTTATTTGACTATTCTCCACAAAATGTCTGCTGTGCAGAAGCTTTAGCTTGCGCTTCCGGAATCTCTTCCAGTTTGAGAGGGCAGTTTTTTGTTTGTTTGTTTGTTTGTTTGTTTCAAATCCTGGGAGTACGGTGAGGGGCAGGAGCCAGGACGGATATTAGAGGTTTTGTCACAGATAGTTGCAGGGACAGTTGTAGGCTTTGAGCAGCATGATAAATGGCTGTCACTCACAGCCAGGGAGAGACTGAGCGGGTCGGAGACAAAGCTGGAGTTGGCAGGGCACGGCCAAAGGAGATGTTAGCAACTGGGGAAGATGTCGTGTGTGGGAAGCAAATGAGAATTCTAGTTTTGCTACACTTTTACGATAGAGGGGAATTATAATTACCCGAGGGCTAAGTTCAGAATCTACTGGACACCACCCCACACCCTGCCAACAGAACAAAATAAAACAAAAACAAAACACCACCTTAGAAATGGGATTGTTCTCCAGCATACTTAGATGATTTTACTCTCTTTTTCTGCGTAGCCAAAAATCAAGCATCTTTGGAACTATTATTTTTTTCCCTTTGGAACTATTATGATTATGAGTATTTAAAGAATATCAAATTGATATCGGAAGAGGAATCAGTGAAAATACAGTATACCTGCACTTTCATGACCCCATTGTCTGTAGTATTTAGCTATCAGTCTTCTGCTAATCAATACCCTTTTAAGCATACATTACATTCTTGCATATTTTACCAGTGGTAATAGATTTAATGTAATTTTTAAAACAAAAAAACAAAACAACAGCGACAGCAGTATATTGCCTGTACTCCAGGCCACAAAATTTCCTCCTGAGATACATAAATGGAACATTGCTGAATGAGCTGAATGCAATGGTCTACACAATGTAGGCATTATTCCTGTAGTTAATTTGAGCTGTGTCGATGAACGTGAGCTAATTCTAATATGCATTGTCCCTGGAAAGCATGTCGTTATTAAATTAGCATTCTCTCACGACCGGCGTGCAATAAAAAGAACTGTAAAACGCAGCTCTTAGAAGAGCCTTTATCAGCCTAACATAGCTGCATCTATTCCCTTCTCTCTCCACAGCCATAACGAGGTAAAAGCAATGTGTTTTATGGTGTTCTCATTGTTCAGAAAGGAGAGAAGGTCATGTTTGGAATTTTAAACATATTTGTTCTCATCCTACTCCCTCAGTGGAAGGCCGTGTTTTTTGTAAGACTGTGGGTTCCATTCAACAAGCTAGAGGAAAATACCTTAGCCCAGCAGATTATCATCCCAGGAGGCTTGCTTCCCAGCCCTGGAGGCACCGCCACTCCCCAGTGTAGCATCTTGCCTGGTGCGCACTAGGCCATGACCTTGTATTTGGCCCCAGCGGTCAAGGCCAACATTAGGGCTAGCTTTCCTGCCCGTGGGCAGCCCCCCCTAGAGTGAGAAGGGGCATGGGGAGGACGGGGCAGCGCCTGGGAAGGGGCGAGGTGGGTGCCCCAGTCACAGCTTGGCCAGGGACAGAACGGAGGGGCCAGAGGGGACAGGAGGTGGCAGCCACAGGAGACCCCGGAAAGCAGAGAAACCGTGGGCCGTAGTTTGAGGAGCTCCCGGGCAGAGTTGTCCTGCAGCCTCAGGGGGTGCGTCTGTGAGTCTCCTGGGAGCTACTGGTCAGTCAAGGAGCAGTAAGCCGAGGGCCTGCATACACCTTTCCGGTGTGAAGTTTTGCTTCAAGTCACCGCTAATCAATCAGAACTATTGCTCCAATGTCTACCTCCAAATGTAAAGTGACTGGGAGAAAAAAAAGGCAGGACCTGTTTGCGTCTCCCTTCCTCCTCTCCTCTGCTCCCCTCTTCCCTCCTCTCCTCCCATCCTGTTCTGCTCCCCTGTTTTGCCTCTTCTCCCATCCTTCTTTTTAAAAAGGGCTGGAGGCAGGCTGGACACGGGATTATACAGAATTGGGTGACTCTCTTAGAAGAACACAAAGATTAAGCTGAACATTCAGGAAAGGTTATCAGTCCCAAATGAGAAGGTAAGAAAGGACATCATTTTTCAGGAATAAACTCTCAATACAGGAGCCAGGAAAAAGTTAGGTGAGGACCAAAGTGCCCTGATGGGAAAAAAGGGGAAGAAGAATTGGTGAACAACACGAAATCGTGCCCAGCAGCTAGTACGAACTGGAAACCTGGGGATAGCTGTCAGCAGCATTGAAAACGACTGATTTGAAGTCCAAATAAATTTTACTTTGAAGCGATCTGTGTAGTGCTGGTCTGTTAAAAGAATGTCCATTATTTTCTTTTTCAGTAATTAATGGTCACACACTGTGTTTGCGGCTATTACTAGAAATTGCAGACAACCCAGAAGCAATTGATGTGAAAGATGCCAAAGGACAGTAAGTGTTCTTAAACCGGGCCTGGGGTTGGCGATTCAATCACAACAGGTAATTGGTTAATTTTGTTAAACAGCTAGGAGGGTTGATGGCTGAATTCTAGTTTGGGGTATATATTTGGGTGAAATTCATAGTTGAGAGCCCTAGAATAAGGAGGGGGCTTTGTGCTAGAGTATATATCCAAGAGAAGTATGGGAAGGGGCGTATCTTGATGACAAAGAGCCAACTTTTTATGTCTGTGGCCATGATTCCTGGCCTTTCTTTCATTTTGTTTCTTCTTTGTATACACTTTTACCCTCTTCTGAAGCTGCTGCATTCCCATTTTGTAAATTAATTATGACAGTAGGACAGACCTCAAGAGGTTATCTCTATCATAAAAAAAAAAATCCTTCGTATTTTTATCATTTCTGAGTTTGTTTTTCCAAAGTATTTTCCATCTGTTAGCCCATCCCCCCACCTAATTTCTCTTACAAATAGGAAATGCAGCGCAAAAAACAAAGCAGGACTCATCCCAGATACATGAGTTACTGTCAGAGTTAGAACGAGAACCTCACTTCCCGGATCCCAACACTCTGTTGTTGTTTTTTTTTCCTCTGGCCTTGTCGGGCTTTTTTTTGCTGCAGTGAAGCTTTGATCAAATAAAATCTTGAGCAGAAGTTCAACATAGAAAACTATAAAGTAGAGCTGTAATGATAGGAGCAGGAGGGCCTCCTATCCCTGCTCAATGATTATTTGGTGAATGCCACACAGTTTTGAAAATGATGCGATCAACATGAACAATTTGTATTTTATTGTATTGATCATTCTATTGACACCCTTCCAGGTGGCCTTTAGAGACCAGGGATGGAGATGGCTTGTTCCATGCATCCTATTAGCAAACTGGGGATGCTCAGAAAATATTAAGCAATTGTTGAGAGAGAGAAGAGAGAGGTGTCCTCCCTCTGGAAGTGATGGGTGTTTGTTTTCCCTGATCTTCTTTTTTAAAGCCTGATTTATTTCTCTGCCTAGAACCCCGCTGATGCTTGCAGTCGCCTACGGACACATTGATGCTGTTTCATTGTTACTTGAAAAGGAAGCCAATGTAGATGCTGTTGACCTCATGGGCTGCACAGCTTTACACAGAGGGGTATGTGCATCTTCCTCAGCTTTAGTGAAGCAATTTTGTAGTGAGCTTGTTTCCCCCTCCACCCCCGCATATGAAGTTTTAGTAAAAAGAATGTTTTCCTAAGATAAGTAATTAATCTCAGTCAGTCAAAAAGAAATTACGGGGGTACCTGGCTGGCTCGGTCGGTAGAGCATGCAACTCTTGATCTTGGGGTCATGAGTTGGAGCCTCACGTCGAGTATAGAGATGACAAAAAAGAAAGAAAGAAATGACAAAATCTTTTGCAAAGGTAAAATAATGGCAGGTACTCTTAGGTCCTGCTTTTCTGATTTCATGTTAGATTGTGATAATAGATACATGAACACCTGCTGTTGGTAGAATTGGTTCTGTTTTGTGATTATACGCACAGCATTTGCAAAAATTTGCAAAAAAAAATTTTTTTAAGGCTCAAAGAAGAAAGTCACAGTCACCGGTAATCTTACCCCCTGGAGATAACTACTTTTTGGTGTATGTATCACCAGTCTTTTTTTGCTGTATATGGATGTGTTTTGAATTTTAAAAAGAGAGAATACTGAAGATGCTATTTGGAAACTGCTTTTTTTCTCCAAGTAGATCGAGGACCTTTTTCCAATATTTTTATTGCATAAAATTAACCAATTACCTAAATATTTTTCTGCCCCATTTTTTTAATCCCCCATTGTGTGCAGGAGGTATAATTTATTCCAATGATTACCTGGTTTTCGGTAGCCATCTTAATTGTTCTTTATTACAAATGTTGGGCCATTCGCCACCTGAAATATGTATCCTGTGGATGAGTCTTCATATACATCTGCTGAAATTTTTTTAAAGCATGTCAAACTAAATGAAACAAAAACAGAAATCATAAAATTGCTATTTGGTAACGATGCTGAACACTATGATAAATGAAAAAGAAAAGAGAAGAAGAACGCTAAGCGGTCAATATCATAATCATAGTTCTTATTTTTTGAATACTTCCTGTGGGCGGAGCCACAGGCTGGGTGCCCTTACACATCTCATTACGCCTCACGACAGCCTATGAGTCATTATTACTATTCCTACTTCCAGGTGGATAAAGTGAGGCACAGAGAGGCAGATAGATTTGTCCACGTTTTACAAGCGGGAAGCCAGGAGTTCACTTGTACCTTCCTGATTCTAAAAGCCCATGTTTTCCGCTCTGTCATGAGACCCTTCAAGTTTCTGTTTGGAGAGTCTAGAGATGTTTTTAAAATGCTGGTGCGTTCACAGACTTCTCTGTCATGAATCTTGCTGGGGTTGTCCACCTCTGTCCTCTGACGCAGGGCAGAATCTGCTTCCCCTAAGGCCCAGGCGTCTGTCCGCTCACTCTGAGCCTAGCCTCACTTAGCCACCGCCTTGCTTCCTGCATCTCTGCCCTTCTGAGATGTGTTTTGTCTTTCTAATTGCAATGCATCAGATTATGACAGGCCATGAGGAATGTGTGCAAATGCTGCTGGAGCAAGAAGTGTCGATTCTCTGTAAAGATTCCAGAGGGAGGACCCCCCTGCACTATGCAGCTGCTCGCGGCCACGCCACATGGCTGAGCGAGCTGCTCCAGATGGCACTTTCCGAGGAGGATTGTTCTTTCAAAGATAACCAAGGCTACACGCCACTGCACTGGGCTTGTTACAATGGTGAGTTGATTGTCGCTTGACTGATTCCAGTAGATTTCCTGGCCGGCACCACTGTGGTCTCAGCGGAGGTGAAAACATAGTGTAACGTCGTAAACCATGGTTTCCAATCTTTCTGCATCTATGATACCCCTCTTTTTTTTTTACGGTTTCCCTTCATGGCTATCATGATGCCCTCTTTTTGTTAATCGCTAACGTGTAACTCTTAATCAGAACCTTTGGTGAACTGAAATAACTAATTTTAATCAGGGTTTGAGATCCTACAAGGAATTAAAATAATACAGCTAAGAACAAATAAATATGATGTAATAATCTGTCACAATTGCCTACTAGTAGATGCATGATTTGGCATTTCTTTTTATGTCCTATATCCCCTATTTAGTTGCACTTGTTATTTGGGAGATTTTAAATTTTTCGTTTCACTTATTTGAGTGAAAAAGAAAATGCATACTAATTGTAACATATCAAAAATGGTGATGCTGCCTGAAGTAAAATTATCTCCATTTCCAAATTTACTTTCTGATGTAATTCTGATGTATGTATCTTTCATAATTTTCCCTTGAGAGTATTAAATAAATACAAATTGGGTATGCATCTATTTTTGAAAACTAGAATCATATAACAAGTATTATATAACTTTCTTTTTTTGTTACTGTTTACGTAAGTTTCTATTGCAGATATTCTTAGGAGTCAATGTATATCTGTGTACATTGATCCTTTTAATAGTTGTATGTTTTATAGCATGCAGTGGGATAGATATACACATATGTGAGTGTGTATACCAGAATTTATTATTTATTCATACCAGAGCCTTGTTGATGAACATTCAGATTGTTTCCAGGTTTTTTTCCAATTATAAACAATGCTGCAGTGTTTGTGTTCATATTATGGTACCTTAAATTCTGTCAGATAACTTTCCAAAAGTGAAATTTTTGATAAGAGAGCAATGTATACTTTTTTAATTTTAGTGGATTATACCATACTACTTTGCAAAAAGAGTATAAAAATGTATTTCTCCGTCAGACGTGTATATAAAACGTACTATTTTCTTAAGCCCTTGCCAGCCAAGACAATACCATCTTTTTAAAATTTTTGTCAGTTTGAAGGGCAAGAAATAGGTATCTCATTATTTCAATTCGTGTTTCTCTGATAGTGTATTTAGTTATGTATTTGCATTTCCTTTTCCTCTTCTGGACACGCCTTTTTCATCTGTTGCCCATTTTTTTCCTATTGAGTTGTTATCATTTCTCATATGTTTGTAGAAGTACCTTGTCTTAGAAATAGGAACCCTCCATTTGTTATGTGTGCCGCAAATGTTTTCTCTCCGTCTATAATTTGTCTTTGTTCCTTGCTTATGATCTCTTTTTCCATGCCTAGATTTGGAACTTTTATTAGTTGAATCTGTCAAATTTTTTGTCGTTGTGGCATGTAGGTTTCCAGTCTTGCTTAAGAAGCTCTTCCCCACCCACCCCCTGCCAAGTTTACGTGGATAATTTCCCATATACTTCTGATTTGATTTCTATAATTTTATTTTTCCATTTTCAATTCTCCTATTAAAATTTTCACTCAGAAACTACAATTATTAGGACCAGAAAGGTTTTGGGGTGCCCTCATATATCAGTGTCAGACCTTTCATTATAATCCTCCTTTTTTCAATGAGAGCCAAGTTTTCTCCTTGTTCGGCTTGGTTATACTCCTTCCCTGCCGTTGGCAGATTGTGATTTTTTTTTTTCCCCAACTTACTAATGGATGAGAGCTCCCTAACTACCATCTGAGTCAAGCTGTGAGAGCTCTCTGGCGCTAGAAAACCTACAGGAAGGGGAAGACACAATCAGAGTGCTGATAACAGACCGCATCCTCTCCCCTGGAGTGGGGTGGAACAGTGGGGGTGGTGGGTCTCTCTTCTTAGGCCTCTTCGGGTGCAAGCTGGAGGAGGATCAATCCTCTCCCAAGTAATCACCCTTCCAGTACAGTCTTCCAGATCCAAGGTTCAAGCTCCCATCTTCCCAGATTCCCCTCCACTGAGCACTTTGAATATCGAAAGTTGTGCAAGGGTCCCCAGTCCTCCCTACACAGACCTTAAGTTGGAATTCATATAGTCTCCAAGGAATGGTAGGTTTAGATGCTGCCCTAAGTGAGGTCCTTCAGGGGGATTCATACTACTGGAGGGACTGAAGTGTCTGGGACTGTTTGAGTGAGGGTTGGATGTAGTTAGAAAGCTGAACAGTATAACTTGAATCAAGTTAGGGGATTTTATATTCATTACTTCATATGCTTCTAAATCCTCCTAAAAGCAGCTTCACCTTTTCTCTCTACAGGTGCAAGAAAGGTTTGACTTGTATTTTAATACTTAAAATTATCCAATCTACATAATTCTGGGATAGATCATAACAGAACTCTAATTTAGCACTGAATTCATCTAAGAAGAGGTTCAGGACGTAGTCTATATTCCAAAGCCAAATAGCATTGCCTTCTTGCTCTGACAAATGCACATTGTCTCACAAACCACATTTAGGTCCTTTATCAACTGAAAACTCCATCATCCTTTACTAGTCTGATTTTTTATATATGGGAAACTGAGGCTCACAGATCCCAAGTGGGTTGCCTAAGTCATGTAACAAGCAAGCTGACAGAGCTGAGGCCTTACTCAACCCAAATTCAGTTGATTTAGAAACTATTGTCATGTCGTTGAAAATAATTCCTCACATTCATTCATCTACTTACTAAAAAAATACTTATTGGGTGCATACTATTTGCCAGGAACTGGCCTTGGTGCCATTTTAAACACTTACATAGTATTTTATAGTCAAAGCCCTTTCACCTGCATTATCTCAAATACTGTTTTCTATCAGTCACATCTTCTTTCCTGAATTAGGTTGCATAATTGTAAGTGAACCTATTCACGTGGGTGAAAGGAGAATTTCCTGTTGTAAACATGGGCAAACTGAGGCATATCTATGTCAGGCATCTATTTCTTGAGAACTGAGGATGATATTGAATCTATTCCACTTGCAAATGCGGTCCCTTCTTTATCTCTTTCTCTCCTCTAGAGCATAAGGCCTTCACTGTTTCACTATGTCTCAAAACACCTGTGAGCATAGTTAATGACATTTTGGCATTTTGTTTATTCCACGGAGAATGAACATTCAGCCAATTCAGGAAAATTCACAAGCCAGAATTCAATACTTAACAACAACAACAACAAAAATAGATTGTGTTGACCAAAATTTCTTTCTTGGAAACTCTCTAAATTCTTTTGATTCCTTACAGGTAATGAAAACTGTATAGAGGTACTTTTGGAGCAAAAATGTTTTCGCAAATTTATCGGTAATCCCTTTACTCCACTGCACTGTGCAATGTAAGTAGAAACGCTAGGAGTTAATGGTGTTGCTTTAATCATTTTAACTACATACAGACAGATTGCCTCTCTGGGAAGGGACAGGCTTTTAGACTATAGGTAAGACCAACATATTCCACTTTGCTGCTAATGGCAAATGGGTCTGATAGCAAAGTGTGGTCCCTAGTGTTAATGATTTTCCAGGAGCTTTTTGTGGAGTGCCCAGGCTCCACGGTGGCTCACATGTCACCTGAGGGAAACTACATGAAGGGTCGTGGGTAACTAAGAGGCACGTTACACCCCAGGTGAAGAGCTCTCCAGATGTACCTCACATTTGTGTACCAAATTCTAAAAATAAATTGGGGTTAACAGCAATATGCCTATGGATGATTAGAAAAGACATTTTATGGCAGGAAGACTTTTTATATATTGTAATTCTCCATTCTTCATATGTTGTAAGTTCTTTTTGATAAATGTACTTTTTGCTGCCATCTCACAGTATGAACCATTGTTTAGATAATACAGTGACTTGAAAGCAGACTTCCATGGTCAGCCTGGGGGAACATGGCCACCTGGGACCTGCTTTATCTTTGCATTGTCTCCGGGCTTCACATGCAGCTGGGTCATTTGATTGAAAGATATTGGAGGCATATAGTGGATGAATAAGCAAAGAGTAAGAAATAAAGGGTAGGAGTGATTTTAAATCTGAAGGAACCATGTCTTTGTCACTTTGGTATCCCCCAAAACCTAACACGATGCATAAGTGGTGCACAGTAAACTCCTTCCTGGATGTAGGAGTTCTGAAGAAATACTGGGGTTCTAGCATTTAATCCACAATGATTAAAAAACCAAACAAACTTTATTTTACACTTCATGAAGCAGGCAGTGTCCACTTGCAAGAGTTCAGAGAGCTACAGTGTGAGGCAGAAAGCAGGAGGTTTTTACAGAATAAAAAATAGGAAACAGGAAAGAGAAGGAATAAAAATATCTGATTAGCGAGGGTTTCATATCTGGCCTTATTTGAGGTATCATAGGAATGGGGCAATCACCCATATAACTTGGTAATTATTAATTGGTTAACTAGATGGTCTGACCTCTGAGAAGACGGAACATTTACAATAACATGAAACTTAAAAGTTGAGGGTTTTTTTTTTGCTATGTTGTTTCCCGGGATCAGTGGTGCCTGACCTACCAAGTAAAGGTTCATGTAGGATCAATTTGGTAGTTCTTCCTCCGCACTTTGATCAACCTCTGGCCAACCAAGAGGTTTGAGCAAAGGTGATGTTGCAAGTTATTCTCAGTTACCATTGTCTCTTTGGGTCTCTCTCTGTTTCACAGGAGATAATGTCAGGTTTTCATTCCAATTGGAGGGAAACCATTTGTTAGCTGGCTTATGGCTGCATACACACATCTAAAACCCTTATAGTGAGTGCTGTGTATTGTGCAAGACTGAAGAATCACAGACTGGTACCCCTGAAACAAATAATACATTATATGTTAATATAAATAAATAAATAAATAAATTAATTAATTAATTAAAAAAAAACCCTTGAGAGAACAACAGACTAGGAAGCAACAGACCAGGAAGATAATTATTAATAGTAAAAGTATTCCTAAGGTTTACAGGACATTCCTGAACCAGGGTCCCCATGAACCAAACCAACTAGATTCACAGAAGTTAAGAAATAATCCCGAAGAGAGGATACTTCTTTAAGCCAGTTGGCCTGTTGACCAACTTATGCATTTATTTATTTGTCAAAAATATCAAAAGATTTTAAAACACCTAGTCGAATAGGATCATAGGTCACTGTGCAACAGTACTTAGTTATCCATTTAACCAAAGTGATATAGCTAATAAAGATAAATACAGATAGTAGTGGCTTAAGAAACAAACCAAAAAACCTCCTTAGCTCTTTTAATACTAAGAAGACTGGGTTTTCTTAAGTAATTAAAGACTTGATAAAGATAGCCTAAAGCACAGTAAATTATTTTGGTAAGACATGAAATCTCTGCTTTTCAGGAAGATTACTTAAAAGGTTAAAAAAAAACACCAAAAACCTTTATTTACAGTTTCTTATTAAGAGCAGATCAGTAATCTAAGAAAAAAACCCTTTGTTCCTTTAACAGAGAAAAACCAAATTCTAATTTTGCACTAGTGTACTTTTGATATTAAAACTCATTTTTTTAAAGCTTAAGTAAATCCATCCCAATCTTAGCCAGCTTGACCACAGAGAATTCCTTTTCCAAGATTCCTTTTCCACAGACCTTTTACAGCTTTTTATATCCATTCAGATTTTGTCCTAATTTTTCCCTCTTTCACATTCCAGAAAAAACAGTCATTTTACTTTAGGACAAAATTACTTTCTCTTTTTTCTTACCAAAAAAATAAAACAAACAAAAATCATGTCTTTCATAACTTTCCTTATCCAAAAAAAAATACACATTCTACTTTTATTACCTACTTTTCTTACAGTTATTTTCTTTCACCCTTATTATTTCTTTTTTTTTTTTTAAAGATTTTATTTATTTGACAGAAAGAGAGCGAGAGAGGGAACACAAGCAGGGAGAGTGGGAGAGGGAAAGGAGGCTCCCTGCCTAGCAGGGAGCCCGATGCGATGCGGGGCTCAATCCCAGGACCCTGGGATCATGACCTGAGCTGAAGGCAGACACTTAACAGTTGAGCCACCCAGGTGCCCCACCCTTATTATTTGTAAATAGTTTTAATTGATTAAAATTCTTAACCCCTAGAATCCTTAATTCCTAGTGGAAACTAAGAAGTAAGCAATAGTGGGTTGTCAGTTACATTAGCATTCTGTGGATTGGCAAATTCATAAATAAATTTCATAATTTCTAGGAGTATATTCTTCCTTATAATACATATTTCAATGTGGTACAAAACATGTTTACTAATGGAGCCAAATATCTGTAGTTCCTCTGTCAAAGGAAGCCAAAAGTGGATAAATCTATGTACAGTAATAATGTTTCAGAGTTTTATATTAATTGGAAATGATCTAGAAGTCAATGAATATCCATCATTTAATGTATCTCAGCTTAACTAAGGTTTCAGGTTACCAAAAACATTTTGGAAACTATTTTTAAGTATACCATAAAGCATAATTACTGTTGAAAACTTTACTTATAAACTTTTATCTTACTTACATCTATTTAATTTACTTATTTTTAATAATTATGTTTAGATCACTCATGAAAATTTCATGAGATATGAAACAGCTAACCATCATCTTAAATTATCTTTCTGGCTGACAAATTCTGTAACAGTGATAACATGAGCTTATTCGATTTTTAGTAAACCTAGGTAGAATAAAAGTTTTATGTCTGCATTATAAATGCTGATAACTCTGAAGATGTGCCTGTTTTAATTAAACTGACCAACCTAAAACTAGTCCTTGTTTACCAAAGATAAACCCAGATCGTGTGAACCCGAAAAACATTTGGGTTAGTTGCTATATTTCTGAGAATATACTTGGCTTATATAAGTGCTTAATGTTCTTTTTATTATTATATTATTTTATTTTTATTTATTGGGGAGGGGTACAGAGAGAGGGAAAGAGAGAATCTGAAGTAGGCCCACACAGGGGCTTAGTCTCATAACCCTGAGATCATGACTTGAGCCAAAACCAAGAGTTGGACGCTTAACTGACTGAGCTACCCAGGCGCCCCAAGTGCTTAATGTTCATTAAGCCAATTAAATAGAGCTCTTTACAATTAATTTTGGCAATACCATCTGGAGATAGAAATAAACATAATGTACGTACATATACATACAGATATAGATGGACACGAACAGAAATCTTAATAACTTTTGTTTTTATTTTATTTTATTTTTAAAGATTTTATTTACTTATTTGAGAGAGAAAGAATGAGACAGAGCATGAGAGGGGGTGGGTCAGAGGAAGAAGTAGACTCCCTGCCAAGCGGGAAGTCCGATGCGGGACTCAATCCCGGGACTCCAGGATCATGACCTGAGCTGAAGGCGGTTGCTTAACCAACTGAGCCACCCAGGCGCCCTAACTTTTGTTTTTAAATTTTAGCTTTTAAACAGGTATGATAATGCAAAACTCACTAGTTTATTAAACAACAACAGCAATAACAACAACAACAACCACAGATCCAGATTGTGTTTCTGGCAGATGGAATAAGTTAAGGTTACCTGCTCAGATGGCTTAAACTTTTTACTAAAATTGAGAAAACTTCAGATTTTCAAATTTTTTTAAATTACAGTATAGTTAATATATAGTTTTTTTTAATTTTTATTTATATTCCAGTTAGTTAACATACAGTGTTATATTCATTTCAGGTGTACAATACAGAGATTCAACAATTCCACATATCAGAGACTTAAGATTTTTTATTTCCCTAGTTTCCAAATAGTCGTTCTTTTTTTTTCTTTTTTCTGATAAGAATTATCTCCCTGAAATGTGCTCAAAGAAATGGCCTAGATACTAGTTCCTAGAGAAGACCAGGTACATCTCAAAGGCAGAGGGAAGGAATGCAAAATCCTCCAAGAAGAATTTTACAATACCTACAAGCCTTTTCAGATGAATAAGAGAGGTTTGGGGATTGGTAAAAAGGATAGGCGAGCTTTTTCTGTTCTTTAAAAACTCAATTTGTGGGACGCCTGGGTGGCTCAGTCATTAAGCGTCTGCCTTTAGCTCAGGTCATGATCCCCTCATTGGGCTCCCTGCTCAGTGGGGAGCCTGCTCTCCCTCTGCCTGCCGCTCCCCCTGCTTGTGCTGTCTCTCTCTGTCAAATAAATAAATAAAATCTTTTTAAAAAATGAATAAAAAATAAAAACTCAATTTGTAAGGCAAGGAGAGTTGATTTTAATTCCTTAAAAAAGGGGGGCTGTCCCACTCATCCAACTACATTATCTTTAATTTGCTTCTTTATATCAAGGAGATCTTCCTTCAGCTAAGGTAAAAATCAAATTATTCCTTTGTTCTAGATTTAGAGCTCTTTGTATTTGGAATGCCCCCACCCCATTCCCTCACCCCAGGTACATAGTTTCATTTTAGCTTACTGGGAAGGCCTAAAGAAAGTTACTATTAGGTTCTGAATATCAGCTTCCTATTTGGCCAGCTTTTGACCAACCATAAAGCTACTTTTAAAAAAGAAAAAAAAAAAGGCTTTCAAATATCTTGTCAAGTTTCAACCAGGACAAACAGTAACTATTCCTGGCAATATTGAACAACCCATGAATGCAAGATGCCCCCAAAGATGGTGCAAAAGATACTACTGTCCCAAGATCCAGAGCTACCTCCCAAAGATAGGTAAAATAAAGGATTTAGGACAAACAGGAAGGCAATAGCAGTCCCTGGGAGAGAAAAGGATCAATAACCAATGGATACTTCAAAACCAAATTCACAAGAGTTTGAATTTGGAAAGGAAGGGACAACATGAAAGTATACCTTTCCCCCTTGATCGGCCACCACAGAGACCAGGAAAAGTGAATCCGGTAAGAATTCTCACCCTTTGCCTGCTCATGCCGGTTTTCCCAGGTCCCGTCTGCAGGCTCTGGAGTGAATGGAGTTTAAAGTAGAGAGTATTGCCCTGGATCTACCAGAATTCGGCAAGATTTTTCCATTAACTTTAATTTTACTTCCCCTTAACTGTTAGAATGACTGGTAGCAGTTTATTGGAGAATCCTTTGGTGTCTCGTCAACACTGGAAGGGGCCTGTATAGGGGCCCTCCTTGGAGGATATATATGGGGGCATTTGAGCTGCTATCAGAGGATTTGCACAAAACCTTCTGGGACAGTCTTTTTGCCAATGTCCTGATAGATTGCAAATGAGACACCGATTTCTGAGCCAGTGTTTTGATGGGGGGGGGGGGGGGCAGGTGTTGTTTTGGGTTTCTGGCCTTGTAGCAGTTGCTGCAATAAGGCCACTGACTTTGAAGACTTGTTTCTGATCCTGTAGCCCCCTTCACGGTGGGAAGGCAGTTCAGATAGAGGATTAATAGACTCTTGAGTACTCAGGTAAAGGAGGATAGAGGGCAGTAGTAGGAGTCATATCAGTCTTACAGTCTTAGTTTTCGGTACCTCTTGTGTCTTTAATTTTTCATTAGCCTTGGCAATGAATCTTTCAATGAAGCCCTTTTGGAATCTTCAAGCTTTTTGGAAGCTTCTGCACACCAATTAAAATAGGTATCCCATTCTGTTTGTTGATTTGGGAACCCTTGCTTTCAAGTGTACTCCTTAAATGAACGATCTTATCTAACTAGAACATTCCCCATGCTGGCCATTGTAATTCTGGGTTGTCTAAGTAATATTTTGCCATTTTTGTAGGTATCTATAGCATCTAGGATCACAGTTTGTAGACAGAAAATAAGCAACTGTGCTGGAAGGCAGAGTGCTCAATTCTTTGAAACTTGAGGATCTCAAGTTTCTTTAGCTAAGCGTTGAGTCTCTTGGAGCCAGATGAGTACCTAAGAGAGATGTGCCACTGGGTTTGGGATTTGTGTGGTGTTTTACAGTGTACCTTGCTTGTTGCATGGAAATTTTGTTGAGGTTGGTGAGTGACCTAGTGTCAATCGAACCTGTTCCATAACCAACTTATCCTATTACAAGAGTCTTAGATTTATGTGATGAGTACTCTAGCGGCTTTTGAGTGCTCAACCTATGCCCATCAATTTTGTGGCTTTGGCTTCTGAGATTCTCATTAACAATAGATCTATTACTCTCCACAAGCTTTCTTTACAATGGTGGATGCCCTAATGGCTTTTAATCGTCCAGTTCACACCTACATAGATATTAATGTGCCATTGGTCAAAACAGTCTGTATTTTTGTCTTAATTTATTTCTGCAAGTCTCCCAGTGGTTAATGCTATGGACTTACTTCAAGGTCCCTGTTAGTCTTTTAGAGGCTGCTACCTGCTGTGGACTCCCACTATAGCTGTCCCAGAGCCTTTCCTGGATCACAGAATCTTTCTGGGAACTTCAATAAACCCTTTTCCTTTAAAAAGTTTTGGATAAAGTTTGTTTAGCTTAGAGAGTTGCACACAAAGGAACAGACCTCAAATCCAAGAGTGACTCACCCTTAGCCCTTGGCAACAGTGAACTCAGAGGGTTCGGCAAGTGCCTTATCTCTGTGTCTCCTCCTGTAGGCTGTTGAGTAGTCAGCTTCGAATCCCACCCTCATCACCAAAACTGTTCAGATGATTGAAGAAGACAGATTAGGTGATAGAAATTTTACTTAACACTTCATGAAGCAAGCAGTTCTTCAGACTCTTGAGAGTGAAGACTGCCTGCCTCATGAAGTGTTAAGTAAAGTTTATTTGTATGACCTAAATTGTCTTCTTGAATTATTTGAACAAGAACATAAACCACAGATATTTGCATCAGACATTTTTAAATGTGTCAGATTGTTAAATATACAGTGATAGGAAGATGGAGTAGGAAGGGATATATAATTTTTTAAAAATGTAAAATTTTTTTTTAAATGTAAAATTTTTAAATGTAAAATCTATTTTCACTTTAGAATAAATGATCATGAGAATTGTGCATCATTGCTACTGGGGGCCATAGATTCCAGTATTGTCAATTGCAGAGATGACAAAGGCAGGTAAGTGATGCTAAGATGTCATGCCTCATGTCTTGATCAATCTTAGTCTCTGCTTTGTGGTTGCAAATAGCCAAACATTTATTATTTTTTAATTGAAAAAGTAACATAAAAGCATGGTTTTTATGTTTTTAAGTGATTTTGTTTAAGTAATCTCTATACCCAACATGGGGCTCAAGCTCACAACCCTGAGATCAAGAGTCACATGCTCTACCTACTGAACCAGCCAGGCACCTCTAAAAGCATGTCTTTTAAAAATTAAATATAATAAAGAGTATATAATTAGGAGAAATTACTCTTAGCCCAGAAGCCCCAGCCTCTTCCATCGGGAAAGCCACCTTAAACTATTCTTTTGAAATTTTTATATTTTCCCCAATATTTTCTGTACATAGCTACAAACATATATGAAGATAGATGCTTTTGTTCTTTTTATGCAAATGGGAGAATTCTATTGCAATGCTCTGCTTTTAGTGTATCTTGGAGAACTTTTCATACCAGACTATATAGATTTACCATATTCTTTTTAAAGCTGGATATTACTTCATTGAATGGATAGACACTTAATCAGCCTGCCTTCTATTGAAGAACATTTAGGTTGTTTCTAATATTTTACTATTTCAAAGAGTGGTTCAGTGAACAGTATAATATATGTATCTGTTCACATGACCAAGTATGTCTAGGAGATGAAGTTTTAGATTTAATTTTTAATTTTGATAAATAATACAAATTGTGCTCCTAGAAAAATCAACTACCCATAGACAGTGGGGGCTTTTTTATTATTTAAATAGCCAATTATCTACAAATTTAAGGCTTAGTTTTGAAAGTGTCTTTTTAAAGTAATCTCTACACCCAGTGTGGGGCTCGAACTCAGAACCCTGAGTTCAAGAGTCATGAGCTGTACTGACTGAGCCAGCCAGGTGCCCCAATTCTGAAAGTACCTTTATCAAAGATGAGAAGTCACTGGAACTCAACATCAAAGGGTAAGTAAAGATGCTAATTTTATTATCAGAGCCACCACTTAAGCCCCCTCCAAATCTAGGGGGTGTTCAGTGTCCATCCCAATGGACTTTAGAGAGGGCCTCGTTGTTATCTCTGTAAACTGAGAAGGTTTAAATCCTTAAGATGACACTGTGCCCAAGTCTCTCAGGCGTATACAGGAAGAGCGTGTGTTACGTTGAAGGGAAGCTAAAATCCTGTTTGTTTTAAATCATTAGGACACCCCTTCACGCGGCAGCATTTGCTGATCACGTGGAGTGCTTGCAGCTTCTTCTGAGACACAGTGCTGAAGTGAACGCAGCAGACGATTCAGGGAAGACCGCGCTGATGATGGCTGCCGAGAACGGGCAGGCGGGCGCCGTGGGTACGTGCTAGACTGGTGGGCTTCGCGCTCATGCCCAGCCCACACCGGAGTAACGTGAAACCGGGAAATCGGTTGTTCTCTTGGTATATGCATGTAAAAAAGGCCAATCGATTCTGCTTGCTAATTGTCTTCAGTCCCCTGTCACTGGATGATTGGTGGACCTTGTCAAAGTGAGCCAATCTTTGTGCAGTGAAAAATCTCAACATTTAGAGACCGAATATAGCAACAGAATTATTTGACCTGGAAATAACAAAACTACAAAGACGATTAAAATGAACATCTATAGACCTTGGATTTCAATAGAAAAATATGGCAATAAATTTTTCCTTTTTTCTTCAAAAACATCAAATATGATGATGTCATCATACTAATTTGAATGTGTTATTGGAGTTAGCCTGTCGTCTAAGTAACTCTCTTTTGGCTTTTTCTATAGATGTTTTGGTGAACAGTGCCCAGGCTGATCTGACTGTAAAGGATAAAGACTTGAACACACCCTTACATTTGGCTAGTAGCAAAGTATGTAAATGAATTTGAAACAGTGTTACTTAGTGTTGTAATCATACTCATACCACTGACATGCTATCTCAGAAGTGTGTATCATGGCTCTTAATTAAGATGAGCGTTTTCCCAGGGTGTTGTCAACTGTAAGCAGAATGGAAGGGGAAGAAGCACAGGGCAAGACCCACGTAGGGGTTGGTGAGGATATGCTTTTCATGGCATTTGCCACCTGCATTCTTATGCAGTCTGTCTCCAGGGGGTGCAGTACCACATCAACTTGGCTTTAAACACAGCTTAGGACCTTAGTTATGTGGCTTCTAAAATATAAACAGGTCCACTTGTTTTCATTTTGTTCCATTTGAAGACATTGTAATAACACAGCCAAAAAAATACTCTCCTTTGAGGCAAATAAGTGTGTTCATGTGCATGTCTACCCTTGGCCCTTCTTTTTCTGGTGCATAGTTCAATGCAAGGAACGTGTTCGAGGTTTTTTGTTTTTTTGTTTTTTTAGTAGCATTATGTTCACATGTAGCTCAAGATTCCTGCTTCTGTAAAAGACAATGATACATAATAATAAATATACAATTTTACAAAAGTGAGATCATAATGTTTAAAAAGCTTAAAACCTGCTTTTGTTACTGAATCATATCTTATGAATCTTTTTTAAAGATTTATTTGTTTATTTTAGACAGACAGAGAGAGAGAGAGTGGGGAGGAGGGGCAGAGGGAGAGAATCTTCAAGCAGACGCCCCATTGAGTGCAGAGCCTGATGCGGGGCTCAATCCTATGAGACCATGAGATGATGACCAGAGCCAAAATCAAGAGTCCGAGCTTAACCGACTGAGTCACCCAGGCCCCCCATGAATATCTTTCTTTTAGATATCAAATTGTATCGTGTTTTATTTATTTATTTATTTTAGTTCTTTTATTTTATTTATTTATTTGACACAGAGAGAGAGACAGCGAGAGCAGGAACACAAGCAGGGGGAGTGGGAGAGGGAGAAGCAGGCTTCCTGCGGAGCAGGGAATCCGATGCGGGGCTCGATCCCAGGACCCGGGATCATGACCTGAGCCGAAGGCAGACGCTTAACGACTGAGCCACCCAGGCGCCCCTGTATCGTGTTTTAGAAGATATGTGGTTTTCTACCTTAGGAATGTGCCATCCTTTATTCCACTCATCCCCAATTGTTAGACATGTGCTTGTTTTCAAATATATGCTACTATAGATGCTACTAATTGTAGAGAATTTTTTTTAAAGAATTCTTGCTCATTCCTTTAAGATAAATTCCTTAGTGTAAAATTATTGAGTCTAAAGCTATGAACATTTTTAAGCCCAAATGGGCCTCTAATAAGATCACAACCGTTTACACTCCACCAGCAGTGCATGAGAATGAAAACTCCATGGACATTTCTGAAATTACATTTCAGGGGCTCCCTTATAAGGCGTTATAGGGTGATTTCAGTTAGCGCCAGTGGTGGTTTATTTCAACATGGTGACAGTATTAAAGGTGTTGTCTGTTGTACCAGATGCTTTGACTGTTCCTTTCAGCGGTTGCACAATTTATTGTGCAAATAAATCACCAGAGGCTCTTGTGAAAATGCTGGTCTAAAGTGGGGCCTGAGATTCAACGTTTCTAACTTCCAGGTTAAGCTGATGTTGCTGGTCTGTGGACCACACTGAGTAGCAAGCGTTTGGGAAACCATGACCCCTTAACAGAGCATAGGCCTGAAATTGTGAAAGGGTCTCTGACTTTTCAGTTGATTTTTTTTTTTTTTTTAATTATCAACCATCTCTTTTAAGATACAAGGATATCTTCCCCTGGTTGAGGAAGAAAAGAATGAACTTTCCTGAAAGAGTCTCTTCCCAGTGTAAGGCAGTACATGGTGATAAGTGATACCGATAACAGATGTAACAGAAATTTCAAGGGTAGATGGATCAGTGAAGTGGTCATTGAAGGCTTGAGGAAGGAGATGGAACTTGACATATGTTAAAAAACATTGTTGACAGATTTAAAGGATGCTCCTAATTCTACTCTCTGCCAGCTGACCTTGCTGAGCTAGCACCTGCTTCAGCTCTCTCAACATTACTGCTTCAGTTGCCTTAGAAATATTAATACTTTAGATCAGGTTTACATTAATCAAGTCCTAATAGACCTTCTGCAGAATCTTTGAGAGGCTAGGGTCCTTCAACCATTTGCTATTTAGAAGAAAAAAGAATTACTCAGAAAGTTGCCTTAAAAATGTTTTTAGGCAGGGACACCTGGGTGGCTCAGTCGGTTAAGTGTCTGCCTTCGACTCAGGTCATGATCCGACAGTCCTGGGATCGAGTCCTGCATCGGGCTCCTTGTTCAGCAGGGGGCCTGCTTCTTCCTCTATTTCCTGCTCCCCCTGGTTGTGCTTTGTCTCTCTCTCTCTCTCTGACAAATAAATTAATAAAATCTTTAAAAAAATTTTTTTTTAATTAAAAAAATGTTTTTGGGCAGATGATGTTCATTTTAAATTTAAAAGCACAATGAAGTAATTTTTCAGGAGCTTTTCTCTGTTTCTGTCCCGTGTTTCTTACCATTTTTTTTCTTTATTAGGGTCATGAAAAATGTGCCTTGTTAATACTTGACAAGATACAAGACGAGAGCCTTATTAATGCAAAAAATAATGCACTGCAGACGTAAGTGTGACTTCTAAAGTTTGATTTGGACCCAGATTCATAGTCATTTATTCAACAAATTCTAAGAGTGTGCTATGCACTGGAGAATACAGTGGTGAAAGACACAGACCTGCCTTCTCCTTCACGAAGTTTATAGTCACATACCTACAGATGCTGACCGAGCTAACCACTTTTAGTTAGAATCTTTATTTTGTTATGCCGTCATACAATTTTGTAATATAATATTAGCATTATGTATTCTTACTGGAAAATGACAGCTTTATAAATCACATTCCCAGAATATGTTTGAAGAGTTTCTAAGCAGTTTGTCTTAATTATATTTTAATATAATTCAGTGTAATCTTCAGCGTGAAAGACCTAAAAGCTGATTTGTTTTCCATTTTAGTAAATTACCTATGCATTTAAGGACAAAGGAATATTAGGATTTTTTTTCCGTCAAGTTTCTTAAGAAATATATAGCAGAAATGAATATACTGGGTTTGACATTTAAGGTATTCTAAATTCAACAAAATATCATTTAGTGCATTTAGTAATAACAAGGAGGTTCAAGACAAATATATATGGGTGATATTAACACCAGTCATGTTGATGGACTGTGTGAAACAGTGATTCAAATGCTGGAATAGAAAGCAAGGGGTAAAGAGCCTTCTAGAAAACACACTGGAGCTTACGTTCTTTTTCTCACTTCCTATCTGTTGTCATTGAGGTTGTTTGAGATGCAGAATATTTGTCATATCTGTGATTCAAATGCTGGAATAGAAAGCAAGGGATAAAGAGCCTTCTAGAAAACACACTGGAGCTTACGTTCTTTTTCTCACTTCCTATCTGTTGTCATTGAGGTTGTTTGAGATGCAGAATATTTGTCATATCTGTAGAGAAATCTGGGCCAACATGGAAGAACAGTTGGATCATTAGCACCTGGAAAAGATCTGGTCAACAAATATTTTTATTAAAAGAATATAAAAATATTCATGTACTCCTTATAGATTCTTAAGTATTTCCTTCCTTTTAGCAGTGCAGCTCCCCCAAATGACACATTCCTCACACAAATATGTATCATGGTTGACGCTGGGTGTTGTCTTCTTTCAGACCCCTCCATGTTGCTGCACGAAATGGCTTGAAGGTGGTAGTTGAGGAGTTGTTGGCCAAAGGGGCCTGTGTACTTGCTGTGGATGAAAATGGTAAGTGGAAAAACTAGGCAATTACCGCAGGTACCTCCCCTGTGCTCTGAAGCCAGAGGAAAATGAGAATGATAGGAGCTCAGTAAAAAGGCAGTAAGAATTCTCTCCCCCTTGGAAGTTTCTGTGTGTGCGAAATCAAATGGGGATAATTTGTCCTGTCTGTCTTTGTAAAACACATAGTCCACCTGTAGCCCACCAGTGCCTTCCATTCTGCATGTAACGCCAGCAGCTGGTCTCTAACTCTGCAGCGTGGTGGCTCAGCTGCTTCAGACACACTGAAAAGTTGGCAGACAGGCATTCAGAATTCGAACTGCATTCGCTGAAGAGTTAGAGACTATACATGTCATTAGTGCATGCTCAAGGGCTCAAAGAAAACCTAGGTCTTTGTATTTCAGTTCATTCTGAGATCAAACCTTTTTTTTTTTTTTTTTTTTTTTTAAAGAAGAGATCAAAACTCATATTCTCAGTATGGATATTTGGGGAACATGAGTACAATTTTTTAATGACTTTCTAGGCTTGAAAGCTTCTCCTGATCTATGTAACCTTCCTTTTCTAAATGAACTAACTCTGAACAGAAGCTTTCTACTCTGCTTCCGAAGAAATTTGGAAAGCTAATGAATAACAGAATTGTGTGAAACTACCATTTTAAGCACAATGCCTATTAACTGTGGGGAGCAAAAGATGAACTTCTGGATATTTATGAATGGTGTAATTTTTTAAATGTGGCATTAATTGTGGCATTTAATTAAAGTATCATTAACTTAACTCAATTAACTGCTTATTACAGGTATTGGAACTAGCAGCCCATGCCTATTTCTCAGAAGTAAGCATTAGCCATATGACATCATTAGCTAATTCCTATTAGTTTTTGTTTTGCAGCCCCGTTTATCCTAGCATGTACCCCACTCTGTCCCCAACCCGACTCATCTAGGAGGCACAGAAAGTTCTGTTACCTCATCTCCTTGGTTGTCCCTCCTCTCCTTCCCTCACCCTCTTATGGCTATTATATATCTTAGGGTTGGCATGCAGAAGTGCACAATTTTTCTTCAGAATGACCCAAAGAGCTCAAAATAAATTAGTTTTGTCTTTCTCCATTGTAAGCCTGCTGCATCCGAGGCTTTTCCTGCCAATAGCAACCCCGGGAAGGAGAGCCCTGGGTCAGTGGAACTGAGGCCTTTCTGAGAGCTCAGCTGTATCCCAAAGGCCTGGGAACAATTTGGGGCAGTTTTGTACAGCACTACACTCATAAATCCTTTACTCGTCAATGACCTCTGTGGCATGGAATGTTAAGATACCTGTCTATTCTTACTTGTTTTTGTACTAGAGAGAGGAGTGATCTGTTGGGGTGGGGGAGGGGCAGAAACTAGGCCAAGTGTTGATAGAACTTGACAAAATGTTGAGTTTTATTGAGCCACTTCCTCTGAATAAATGAGTGAGAGGTAGTAGGAACTTTGCCAGCAGAGGAGCTAGGCTAACCCTTTCAGGTCAGTAGAATAAAGGTTGGATAAGAGTAGTAATGAAGTCGAAGAATGTATCTACGTCCCCCTGCACATGTTTCATGTGTCAAGACAGTTTTCTCTTCTGGATAGGACCCATCGAGTCTAAATGGTAGAGAATGACAGGACTGTACAGCCATTTTCCTACACCTGTCATAGTTGGACTTTGGGACTTCGGTCGGTCGGTGTGCTATTTTTAAAAATTCTGTTAAATTTCACTTAAATGATAGTAAATTTTAAATCACAAACCATCAGTGCTTTCCTGTCTGATCTGCTCAGATGATTCCATTTTCCTAGAACAAGTGAATTGGTATATACTTTATATAAACATATGTAAAGCAACAAAACTGCGTCAGTCACATCTACAGACATCTGGTTTTCGACATCTTTTCTAATCTGACACGCAGTTACCTACTATGGAAAGTCATTGTTCTCAGAATGAGAGCTCTGGCCCAAGCCTGAGGCGCATGTGTGCGTTTGCTCTCAAGTGGAAACACCTCTGTGGTTGTCCTGTTGCTGGGTTGTTTTTGTTTTTGTTTTGTGGAGTTGTGTCCCACCCCTGCCCCCTTGTGTCTCTGTTTATTAGATGAAGACTAGAATTCTCCTAACTTTGGATAACATAGTGCTTGTTGTCATGTAAACTGGAAAACCAAAACCAAAACCCCTTCATAAAATGTCTCCCCCTCCCAGTTCCCTCTTGCCTGACCCCTAGCATGACTTGTGGGAAGTAACTCCTGTTTTTGCCTGGCATGATTTCTAACTCAACATACATCTCCGCGTGTAAGGTTGTATGAGATGTACTGTGGAATGCTCACGCCGCCTTTGGATTTCCTGGACTAACCACTGCCTTGTCTGCATTTACGCCCAGGTCATACCCCGGCCCTGGCTTGCGCTCCTAACAAAGACGTGGCTGACTGCCTGGCCCTCATTTTGGCTACCATGATGCCTTTTTCTCCTTCCAGTACAATGACGGCTGTCAACTTCGTTTGTTTTAAAAAAGACAATTTGAGCAGGACGACCCTCTCCAATCTGGGTAGCATGGTCAGCCTGTGCAGTAACAACGTAGGCTCAGAGGATGGGTACAATGAAAATGACTCTGATTCCGAAACCTTTTGACTTTGGACTGTAGCAGCTTTTCCTTGATCACCCATATTGGAAGAAGGGAAAGAAACGTGAATTCCAGGTTTATGTTGTGTTCGAGTATTATTATGGGCCTGGGCTTCCAGAAGCCAGTGGAAAAGGAATTAACCAAACCCAGGGAGGGCAACTAGACTGTAGGGCAAGGCACTCACATAGATAGGCCCTGATTTTTGTTTTCATGTTTTCCTTAGATCTGAGATACTTCTGTGCAAGTCTACCTCTCATTTTAAGTAAGAAGTAAAAAAATGCATTTGATTCTTTTTCTTTTGGCATGATGCAGTTGAGAGGGAGCTGTTCTCTAGAAAGAATTTTTTTTTCATTTACTCACTCAGCAGTGAGTTCTCAGAAGTATATCCATGTGACATTCATGTCCCCTGGGAGGGGAGGGAAAGGGTGGATAGGAATTGCCTCAAACCTCTTCTCACTTTGATGTTTACTTCCTCACTAAAAGCCAAAGGTAAAGGTGTTCATCTTCAGAAATGATGCCTGTAATAATCTTTTTAAGGGAGTCCAATTATGCATATCCTCTCTATAGTAAGCACTTAAATATCCAGAACTTCTTTCCAAGGATTTTTATGGAAGTTGCCAGATGAATGGAAAAATTCACTAAAAATTGAAGTTGCTTTTTTTCATTTAACACAAGTACGGCCCCCAGTACTCCCTGTAACAAGCCTGTGGCTAATTTTTCACCTGGTTGATTGAATCCAAATCTATCTAATAACGTTTTAGGTGAAAAGTTGTATTGCACCAGAACTTTGAAACATATGCAAATTTAATATGAGACCACCCTTTATTTATTTATTTGTTAATCCTCAAATCAGAATGCTAACTTTTTAAAAACATCAGAACCATCAGCATTGTTCATCAGTAGTAAAGTGTTGAATGAGCTTCTCAGTCAAGGTCATGCCAAGTGAGGGAAGTGTGATGACAAAAGGAAACAAGGTGCAAAGCAGAAGGTAGAAATGGGTGATGTGGAAATTAAAGCCAATTGATAGTCGCTTGATGATCAACTCAACTTAGTGAATACTGTGTCTACTCCCTCTGCCAAAGCTTCTAGGTCAAATGGACCCCGTTCTGCACCTGGAATAGCTGTACAAAAAGAAGAATGAGACTCTTTAAACATTATGCACATACATACACACACATATGTATATTTATATATATATATATATGGCTGTAGTTCATCAACCAGCTATACATGAGGACCAAAATGCTTCAGTCTGGAATGGAAGAATTTAAATTGCTTTCCTTCAAAATGGAAGTGAGAACTGAAGTAGCTTTTCTATGGAATTAAAATGTAATCTTTTTGTGTAACAGTCTTTGTTGTGTTTTATATTTCTTATGACACAGATTTCTAGTTGATGGCTTAACATTTGTACCATGACATGTTGACCAAGACTTATTTTGTTGCCAAACTAGAGAAAATGTTCATATACTTTTGATGTAAATGTGCTTATATTTATTTGAAATGAAACAAAGGCCGAGGAAACATCCATTGTTTGTTCTCTGTTTTAAGTGCTGTGTGTCTTACTTGGAATAACACAAAAGCAGAAAAGCACGCAGGACCCTCACCGGGCTAGCTGGCCGTCCCGGGGCCAAGCCCAGCATTTCCACTGCTAAGGTTTCCAGCTGACCCTCAGGTTCTTCCACGTCTCTTGGAGAGGTGTACAACATCCCTTTCTCAGCCCCGGTCTGAGCCAGCCTGGACAGCTTAGGGGACACTGCCATCCTTATGCTCTTCTGCAAGATGAGAACTGAGGTGTGTGGTGGGTCATATGCACAAAGGTGGCCCAAAGAAATTTACAGAAATTACAGAATTTACTCTGACGGTCTGTAGCCAGCCTGGAGAGCTCAGGGGACACCGCCGTCCTTATGCTCTTCTGCAACATGAGAACTGAGGTGTGTGGTGGGTCATATGCACAAAGGTGGCCCAAAGAAATTTACAGAAATTACAGAAATTATTCTGAACACACTGAAAAGCTCATGGTCCCAGTAACCTAGTGGGAAATGATGTCAGTGTGTGAGCACATGTACCAGGAGAGGAAATAGAAATCACCAGCTCAAGTGCTGTTTTCCACTTGAGGAAGAAACAGGAGAGAAACATGTTGTCAGGACTCTGGCATTTTATAATCAGCTACATTTTCAACCCTGGAAATTTCTATTTTATAGTGTATGTGAGATATTTTTAAAACAGTGTTCTATCATATCTGGATCAAATACACATGCTGTATTATCTTTTTCATCTAACTGTAAAAGACTTTAATCTTACTCTTTTAATATCCTGATTTAATTAAAAACTCACGTTGGGTTCTTCACAAATGAGAACTTGTTCAAAGGACTTAGAGAATTGGTAATAATTTCACTGGAAATTTTCGACACCACCAACATTGCTTTTTTAAATTCTTGGTGTTGTGTTCCCCTTCCTTCCTCTGTCCTTTTTGTTTATTTAGAGAAGATGAATTTTTAAAAGGTAGATAAATTGCTAATGAGCAATAACGACCTTATCTTTACCAAAACACTGAAAAGCAAGGGAGATCCAGCGCTAAAAAAGCACGATATACTGTGGTGTCTTTTTCTAGAAGTGAATGGAAATCTTGCTCCACTGGCATGTAAAGCAGGAAATGAAATGTCCTCTTGTAATGGTGAAGCAACGTTCACAGTTTTCCTGTAGAGTAGCACAGAGAACAAGGAAGGTGACAGCAAAGCAGTGCTGGCCATGGGACATTTCTCTCCACATAGCTGCATTTTGACTTTCCCCCACCGTCTCCCTGATAGAAAGAAGGAGGACAAAGGAACAAAATGAAATCACACTCGCTGTGAATTGTTCATGAAATCAAATCTCTCTCCCACTCTCTCACTGTTTCTCCATTCCCCAAGACCAGATTTTTTTTCTTTAGGAAATGACTTCAAAAACTATGAGTTCTGTGTGTTTTAAGTACATCTCTTAGAAATAGAACTAGATTTGCAAGGTAGCTTTCTAAGCAAAAAAACAAGGAACAAACAAAAAACATTGTGCTTTTAACTGAGTCTTGATTGTTTAGTGCTTTTACCTGTGTTATTTTTAGACTGTATTCTAACCATAGCCACAGGGATCATGTTTCATCGCACTTACCTATTCGCCGTGTCTGCCTATCCTTGGTAAATACATTACTATCTCCAAATTGCCTAAAATCTGCTATGATTCTACAGTAAAAAGCTCAGGGGATTTCTATTTATCACTACTACAAGGGCACCATAGTATGTTTTGGTACTTTAGGCAGTAAACAGCTGCTTGATTTTTTTTTATTTTATTATGAAATTAGAAAAAGAACATCAAATGGATTTGCTGCACTATTCTTTGTACTGTTGAGCAACCTGGTCTGCTTATCTGTTGCGATTGGTTGAAGAACTCATCCCTTTATTTGTCTTGTAATATGAAGTTAGAGTGCCTTTTTATATTTGTATATTCTGAAGATGTTCTGTGAAATGTTTTGTATTTTTTTCATTTGAGTGTTATCAGAGCAATATAATACCAGTGAGTTTTCATTTCAGCCTTTCTTTGAATGTATAAAGTGTCTTTTTTCCTATTTCCCCTTTACCTGCTTTGAAATGAAAATGAAAATGCCGAAGTTTTCTATAGGAATTATGTTTAATTTTGCAGTGCTAAAATGCTTTCTTCTTACAAAACTGTAAACCATAGGTCAATGTTGTAGGGGAAAAGCGTTTTAAGATAGTGACAATCTGAGTGTGTGTAAAAATGTAATTCTATGCGTTTCTTATGCAGTGATCTAAAAATTCAATGCAAATACCTTTTGTTTGGTAGTTTTGTCTACATATTTTATGCTTTAGCATGTGCAATATATCTTTGCAAAGCACGATGATACAAATCTGGTGCCAGTGTTATATTTTGCATAACATATTTGTAACAGCATAAAATACGGTTTGATGCTTTCAGTGGGATTTTGTCTGTGATGTTTTCTTATGTAAATTGGAGTTGAATGACTCTGGTAAATGTCATGACTGTAAAAATGAGGAAAATGACTTTTAGTTCAGTGAATGACTTTGAACCAATCTGAATCTTTTCAAGCACAGTTTAATACTTTTTCAACTACTGAATGCTAATTATGTAATGAAGTACTTAACTGTAATATACTATGGAAATGCATTCAGATGGTTATTTTTACAAATAAAAACGGTACAAATATTGTTGCAATTTGTGTTTGTCTTTAATTTTTCTGATTTATGCTATTTTACCGGTTATTCTGCTAATTTAAATCTTTGTCCCCACCAAAGTCAAACTGACCTTACATTAATACTCAAGATAGAAGAATATTTCCAGATTTGCTCTTTCTGTTTGTAACATCACAATTGGGGAGGGGTGAGTCAAACATGTATGTTTGTGTATGTTATATTTATTAATGCCTCCAATTTTTTCTGGAAAGATTTGAGCTGGCCTGCAACAGAGGGCACATGATAAACTAGAAGAAAAATGAGGACAGGGAAAAAGAATACAAATATGGGAACCATAACATTTAATAGAGTGGCTATGGCTGAACGTGAGTTTGCTTCAGCTCCCTTGTAATCACGGTGAGAGGGGAGACGTGGCTTACTGTGGAGATCACGTACATCAGAAAGGAGGAAGCCCACCAGGTCCTCAAAATGGTGGAATCAACAACACTTCTTTTTGTGGCTGCCAGGAAGACCCTTCAACTGCTTCATAACAACGCAAGGCGCCACCTCTCTGCACCATTCTTACAAGTATCTGTAGAATTTCCTCTGTCTCACCATTCGCAATTTCTCCCCTTAAGTAATAATTTCAGGGACAGTCCCTAGAAGCATTAAGGAACAAATTCTCAGTGACACTCTTTCCAGCTTTTGGGGTGGGGCCCTCCGGAGTTCCTCAAAGCACAGTGTCGTAGAATGCTAGCAGTTCTTGCTAAGTCTAGCCAACCCCATCACCATCTTCTTCATGAAGGGACGGAATCCCAGCGAAATGTTATAATTTGCTCAAATGTGTATAATTGACAATCTCAATGCACAACCTGTGCCTATATGTTCTTTCTTTTATGCCATCCTGGCAATAATGTTTTGCGGTAGTTGGGGTTTTTTCCTGCTAGAGATGTTCAGAGAGGTTTTGCACTTTGCAGAATCTCACTCCTTATTCAAATATACAGATGTGAGTGCTTTTCATTCTTGAAGACTGTAAAGCATGAATCATACCACAGGTGGGTGCTTCTGGTAGTTTAGAGCTGAGGGGTTACATTAGTTATCCAACATCATGTAACAAATTACCCCCAAACTTAGTGGTTTAAAACAACAAATGTTTATTATCTCACAGTTCCTGAGAGTCTCGAGTCCAGGCATGGTTGAGTTGGGTCTTCTGCCACAGGGTCCCTCATGGGCTATAATCCTGGTGTTGGCCAGGGAAAGATCCATTTCTAAGCTCACTCATATGGTTGTTGGCAGATTCTTCATGGGTTGTTGGACTGAGGGCTCTAGTTCCTTGACAGCTTTTAGCTGCCTTCACTTCCATGCCAAATGGGCCATTCCAAAAAAGGGCAGCTCACAACATGGCAGCTTACCTCATGAGAGCTAGCAAGCTGAGAAAAGCCAGAAAGAGAAAGTGCAAGACAGACGTGACAGCTTTTAAACTGAATACTGAAGTGCCATTCCATCATTTTTCCCATACTTTATTCATAAGAAGCAAGTCACTAGATTTGTTCCATATTCAGGGGAAGGGTTATTACCAAAGGGTGTGACGACCAGGAGGCAGGAATCACTGGGAACTATTTGGGAAGCAGTTTATCACACCAGATCTATCACAGTGTCCTTCCAGAGTATAGCATTCTCCTGGGATAACTTCTTGCTTGCTTCTTTCCTTGCGAAGGCAATTGTTTACTTTACCTTTTTGTTTACTGTACTTCCTAAATTCAAGAAAAACGTAAGGATCCCTTCATTTCACTTGTGCTCTCACAAGCAAGCAGGAAGAGGATAATGGCCTCCAATGCAGTAGTTCTGTTGTTGAATGTTGGTGTGGGTGCTTTGTCTCCGAACTGCTTTTCAAAGGATCCTTCTCTCTAATTCCATTCAGTAGGTTTAGATCCCCATACGTCTATCCCTCACTTAAGACACTTCATGTGTTCCAGAATCAGCTTGCAAGGCATAAAGGCATTAAGCTAAAAGGCTATTAACATAACATAAAAATATTGTGGGTAAAAGTGCTAAGTGAATTGTCTCTAGCAAATTTCATGCTAAAGAGACATTTGCTGTAAAATACGAAGCAGCAAAGATAATGGCTGTGCCATTCATTAATTTTCGAGCACTCCAGGGGGTGATTGGAAACGTAAGCCTTTGCAACTGGCCCAGTGACTGGTGGGTGGGAGGGTTTGCTACTAGGATTTACTGTACTAGCATCTACTAGGCCAGGGATACCCGATGTCCCACCAAGGCCAGCGTAGGACTACCCCACCCTCAATGCCCATGCGCCCCCACCTCACTGCTCATCTGCCTCCTCACCTCTTGTTTCTGAATCATTTTTCCATCAATTAATTATTGTGAAGCTAGCCATATTTTTACATCTATTTTCACAGGAATTGCATAAACAGGCTCTAAGCTTAAAAAGAATTTCAGAAGCAGTGACCAAGAACGATCCCTGATTGTTTGTTTTTCCAGAAAAGATCACACGCAGGTGAGTGGAAAAGGGAATACTACTGCACAGATTTGAGACAAAGATTTAATTATTTTGTTATTAAACACACAAATGCACATATGCAGATGTACATTCCTTGTCTTACCAGGGGATGATTGTGTCTACTTCATGGGGGGTGGGGGGGCGGACCCTGTTCACAAAGATGGGGCACTTGGCCCACAGTCACATAGCAAGATCTGGCAACAAAGCATTATTGTCTCATGTGGTTTCCTGGGCACTGGTAGACACAATTTCTAGGATTCTATTTTTTTGCCTTTGTAGCTACCGCCACACAGATAAGTGACAGTTTAATGAAGTAAACTTAAATTCTAGAAGAATTTTATAATTTTCAAAAGTAAAAATGTTGAAGCAGTACTTAGAGTACAAAAAACTTACCCATGTTTATATTCAGTTGAAAGCACACAGCAGGTTTGAGAACTTGAATAACTCATCTTTCTTATAGTTGCGTTGCTAAGAATTACAAAATCTAAGCTCAGATCTTAATGACAAGAAGTTGCCAACCATATAAAGATCAGAGGAAAGGGAACAGTCAGTGCCAACACCCAAAGGCAGAAATGAGCTTGGCATGTTCCAGGGACGGAAATGGGGCCTGTATGGCTGGAGACGTGTAGGGGAGGGGAGGGTGGCAGGAGATAAGATCAAGAGCAATCTGAGGCCAGATCTTATTAGATTTTATGAGCCAGAAGAAGTAGTTTCTATTTTATTCTGAATGTGATAAAAATCCACCAGAGAAATTTTAAGCAGAGAAAGGGCTGTGGTCCTATTTCATTTTTTTTTTTTTTAAAGATTTTATTTATTTGGCACAGAGAGACATAGCGAGAGAGGGAACACAAGCAGGGGGAGCGGGAGAGGGAGGAGCAGGCTTCCCGCGGAGCAGGGAGCCCGATGCGGGGCTCGATCCCAGGACCCTGGGATCATGACCTGAGCCGAAGGCAGACACTTAACGACTGAGCCACCCAGGTGCCCCCTATTTCATTTTTAAGAGATCACTCTGGCTGCTGTAGGGAGGTAAGAGAGGAATCCTACTGACCCGTTCAGTGGCCACTGCAATGGTATAGACAAGTAAACATGATGGCTTGGATTAGTGTGGCAACAAGAGAAATGGAGAGAATGTGGCAATCTTGGGGAATTCTTGAAAGTAGTGTTGGCTGAACTTGCTGATGGTTTGATGTCAAGTAAACAGTCTAGAGTTTGGCAGAGAAGCTGGGGTTGAGGTCATATGAAATTATAGATGACCATGGAATATTGCCTTGGGAGTAACAGAGAGAGAGAAGAGTGCTGAATCACGGACACACCAACATTTAGAGGTTGGGAAGAAGAGAGGACCTAGCAGAGACTATCAAGAAAGAGTGGCCAGTGAGGAAGGAGGGAATGTAAGAGAACAAGGTATCTCTGAAACCTGGGAAAGAATGTCATGGAAAAAGGAGTTTCAGTCGTATCTACTGTCTTAATCGCTTCTGGGAGGTCACATAAGATATGACAGAGTGGCATTGGATTTAGCTACACAAAATTTATTAGTGACCTTTGCAAGAGCAGATGCATCAGAGTGGTGGGGGCAACAATCCAGAGGACGGATTGAGGAGAGAAAAAAAGCAGAGAAGCTGAGGGGGAAAAGAAAAGGCAATAGCTGAAGGAAGCTATGAAGACCAGAGAGGGTATTTGTTTTTTGAGACAGGAGATATTTTATCATGTTGATGCTGAGGGAGTGTCTGTGAGACAGCAGGAGGAAGGTTTGAGAAGCGATGGGACAGTAATTTTGGAACATTTTAGAGCAGCAAAGGAGGGTTGCTGAGTAACACTTACTACATCTGAGATTTATGACCATTAATTTAAATGATGCCAGTCATCCTGGTGGGCTTTTTCATCAGATGTTTGGGTACAGGCATAGAGTAAGTAGACAGTGGGATTTAAACAGGGATAGAGCTTTGCCGGGTGAGTCCAAGGGGAGCTACGGAACTACGTGGTGCTTTCAACAGACAAGATATATAGATTATGGATCCTAAACTGGGTAAGGAAGGAACTGAAGACATGAGGGAGGTGACGGAAAGTGAAAAAGTGGTATAGTTACTGAACTGAAGGTCTTGGCAAGATGGAAGAACCACTGAGTTGTGGCATCAAAGTTGATAAGCCAAACCTGGGGTGCCTGAGGTTGAGCTCTCAGAGGAGGGACACTTCTGATGTTGACAAAGCCAAGGAGTGGGTGGTTGAGGATGATTGAAGGAAAAGGCATTGGAGGTGAGGAAGTAAAAACTGAGGAGGCCAACATAACAAATGGCCCAAAGTTTAACATAGTATTTGAGCAAAATTGATGGGAAAATGTGGCCATTTCAAAACATCTATTACTCAGGTAGTTTACTTTAAGTAGATGCAGACTCAGACCTGGTTTATTATCAGACTGAAGTTTGGTTCCAGGATTAGGATGAAGCTTTTAAAGAAGTAAGAATGATCAAGTGCATTTCTGTTCAAACAAACAAACAAACAAACAAACAAGGA